AATTCGCGTCGGCCTTTCCCGGCCACTTTGTTGCAGTAAAAAGCATTTCAAAGGGCTTTTCTGGTGGGAAAAAAAAATTGAAAGACATAGTAGTCCCCTGTTGCAATGGTCGCTTTATTCATTGATTTTATCACAAATCAAATCTGTATCCCCACCCCCTTTTTTTGCGCGCCCCAGAGGAAGTAGAACGGATAGCCGAAATAATGCAGCCACAATGTGTGCGCAGCCCACTTTCTGACAGCGCTCTTGGATCATAAATTGCACACCCTCCCCCGCCCCCTTTCCCCGCGATGGTCCAATGACCGCTGGCACCCTTCAATTGGCGGGGAGGGGGGGGGGGGGGTCAAAACGGAGTAGTGAGTCCACGGTGAGCAGCGCTGCCTATGCCTGTTCCGCGCCGGCCGTTCCGTTAACGCGAACGTGCGCGGCTCTTGGCGAACTTGGCACAAACAACCTTGAAACAGCAGGCAGCATGCTGCACCACCCGATTTCATGCAACAGCAATAACCATTCTTTTCCTCTTTCCCCGCGCTCCTGGGAAGGCGAGAGTGTGGCATGGCAGCACGGACGAGACCCATCTCGCGGCCACCCGGTAAGGTTCGCGCCGCGCCACGCCGCGGACTGCCTCGTGGCCGCACTCGCCGCACACTCCACAGTGCGCCACTGCTTGCCCGGCCGCGGTCTGCCGACGTCGTCGTCCTTTTGGCCGCTTTGTTGCTGAAATTCCTGCTGAAAAATTACGTTCGGGCTGGTGGCGCGGGAAAGCGCGGGAAAATGGAGGAGAGGGGGAAGGCGGTCGGAAGGTGCAGCGCGACGAGTGGGCCTGCCTGCCTGGCTGCCTGGCTGACTGCCTGGCTGGCTGGCTGCCTGCCTGCCTGCCTGCCTGGGTCGCGGCGCGGCCACGGCGGGCCCTGATATTTCTTGTGGCTCAAGGAGGACGAGACTAACTCTATTCCGTTGAACGGAAATAAGACTGGCAGCACCGAGCCGCCGAGCCGCCAACCTCGCCACAGAGCGACAGGGGCGGGCGGGGCGGGGGCGGGGTGGGCCTCGGATCAGCAGACTGACTCCGAGAGGCTGTTTCGTCGCTTCCTCTCACACACCTTCACGGGGCGCCCCATGAGAGCGAGAGAGACAGAGCGACAAAAACCACTCTCGGAATCAGTCTATGCTCGCTCCGTCTCGCTCTGCCTGCAGGCCTGCAGCCGCCTGCTTCCGTATTGTCACTCTGTCTCTCTCGCACCGTTAGGGAACGCCCCATGAGTGTGAGAGAGACAGAGACGAGAGCGATGGTCGGGCGTCGGGCGCATCGAGCGGCAGGCCAGCCTCGCTCACAGTGTGCCAGTGTGCCACACGCCGCTTGAGACGTTCGGCACACGGCCCGCCCGGCCATCGAGCCCAGCCTAGCCGCCCGGCCGCCCGGCCCTCGCAATCACGGCGTCGCATCCTCGCTCTCTCTCTCCCTCCCACCGATAGGCGACGCCCCAGGTGCGAGAGAGACAGCGCGACGACAGCGCTGGGGGAACGCACCTCGTTTGGATTGCAGCGTGTGTGTGTGTGAGAGAGAGAGAGAGAGAGAGAGAGAGAGAGAGAGGGGGGGGCTTTGAATGCAGGAAGCTGCACTCCCAGGATAAGAACAGAGAGTGCCTCTAGCCGTCGCCACGCCAAGCAGTGCCCATCGCACGCACCTACACACACCGGCAGCGACAGGGGGATGGGAATTTCAGAGAGGTACATTACGCTTTGTCCTCAGTGCAGCAAGCAAAGCAAGGCCTCACGACGCGTTTGGTGTACGCGTGTTCCACGCAGAGTACAATTTACACCGCGCTCCCTGCGTAGTCGCGGACACCTCAACCTCAGCGACCGCAGCCGTTGCCGCTCGAGGCTTTGCTTCATTCCACGCGTAACTACTTCCTCCCTGCCCACTGTTAGTTCGCCAACTTGTGTGCTGTGTTCGCAGTTTCCAGACCTTTCAGTGGATAACACCTTAAGCTCACGTACGGCAAGCAGTCAGCCATTACAGTTGTTAGCCCCCCACCCCGTCCTCCCCCTGGTCAGTGCGACGCCGCGACACGCGTTAGGCCGTCCGCACAAGCGGAAAATGTCCTATCTTCGTTTTGCACTCTACACAGCGGTCCGTTTTTAATCATCAGATGTTGTCCTCCGACTCGCCACGCCACGCCGAAGAGGCGGCGCACGAGGTCGATGACTTCGATCCCAAACACGCCGCTCTGTCTCTCTCGCACCCCTACGGGACGCCTGGTGAGTGCGAGAGAGACAGAGCGACGAGGCTTTTTTCGGAATCAGCCTGCAGCTGTGGCGGCGTCTGATCGCTTTCATGTCGGCAGCCGTTCCAACGCAGTGTGGCCAATAGTGCGCGAAGTTAAGTGGACGCCGCGCCACGCCGTGCCACGCCTTGCCATGACAGGCCGGTGCCGCGCGCTGTCGGGCAGTGTCCTGTCAGCAGACCCCGCGTTTTAGAGGGCGGTACTAGGGTCGCATACGTCCGCATTCGTTCGTCACATGACGAAAATCTTGATCGAAGACTGCACCCATGACTCGTGCCCGGTGTCAAGAAAAGGGAACGGCTCACATAGACAATCATCGTCAACTACCAGCACCACGAGTGCAGGATTAAAATCCATTAATTTTTTTTTCTGCCAAGGAAACGTGAATGACAGTGTACCCGTGGCCGGGGCGCTGGGAGGTCATGCCGGGGTCACTCGCGAGCGCGCGGCGGGTGGCCCAGCCCAGCCCGGCTAGCCTGGCTCAGCCGGGAGTGCTTCCGCCCGATATTGCAGGGTTTAACCTTTCCCGCGTTTTCGCCCACAACGCTCCCCGCCTACAGGCAGCTACGGGCCAGCTACAGGCCAGCTAGTACAGGCCTCCCCCTCCCCTCGCGGCTTACCGCTGTCTCTCTCTCTCATTACGGATGGCACGACAAAGACCAAAGCGAGCGGCGCGCTCACACGACGTACAAGCACGCCCCATAGACTGCCGCCTCGCCCCTCGGCCACAAGGAAGACCCAGCCAGCCACGCCAGGCTGCTCCCGAGCAATGTGTCGGCGCGTCGCTTCTCTCTCGCACCCTTACGGCGACTCCCCTGCAGAGCGAGAGAGACGGAGCGATGAAAGGGGAACCAGGCCCCACGCGCCACGGGCCGTAACACTGTAACAGTGTCGATTAATTCCTCCACGTTACTCCAACTTTATGATTAGGCTGCCATGCTTCGGGTCGTCCTCCCCGCTCCGTCGCTCTTTTCACCACATCGCTGCCGTTGGCCGCCTCGCCTAGCCTCGCCGAGGGTGGTCGAGGGCGACGGTGCTGCCGTGCCCAGGGGCCGAGGGCATTGCGCGTTGCGGACGGTCAGGCACGTATCGGAGATAAGACACCAGACTCATTCCGGAGGGGAGGTCCCTCCCTCTCTCTCGCTCTCAGCGTGCCCAGGCGTGCCGCGCGGGTGCGAGAGAGACAGACGGCGGCCCCGCTCGAAAGCCGCCTGCAGGCTGTCATGGGGAAGGTGGCGGCGGCGGCGCGTCCGTCAAGCACCCACCCATTTTACCCCGCGCCCGCGGGTGCTTATTTTTCTTATCTCTCCCATTCTTCTTTCTATCTCTCTCTCTCTCTCTCTCTCTCTCTCTCTCTCTCTCTCTCTCTCTCTCTCTCTCTCTCTCTCTCTCTCTCTCTCTCTTCAAAACTCGTCGCGTCACATGTGGCGCGCGAGAGAGTGCGAGAGAGCATCGCGTGACGTGAGGGGCCGTGATGGAGGCGGCGATTCATCGGCTACACAATCGCGGGGCGGGGTGGGGGCGGAGGGGCGGGGCCGCTCGAGCGGCGTGGAACGAAGAGCAACGCAGAGCCGAAGAAAGGGCGCAAAGTGGCTGCCTTGCCTAGGGCTGCCTAGGCTGGCGGTGAAAGGGTGAAAGGCGGTGAGTTTAGGGAGTGCAATTCCGCCCCGGCAAGCCGGCCGCGTCGGGGGAGACTAGACGCGGCAAAATACGGCCGCGCAACGAGTAGGGTCCGGAAACACGCTATACTTTCAACAAACAAAAAAATCACAAGAAAAGAAAAATTTGTTTCAACACTTTTTTTGACCTGACCGAGACGTAACCAGATTTTTTCACATTCGGGGTGAAGGGCTGTCGCAGAATGATACGCGGGGGCATCGTGACGACTTTTAGTTGTCCCAGAAGTTGTCGCCTGCCGACGACCGACCGGGTGCGCCTGGTTAGAATCGAGGAGGGGTGCATGGAGATGGGAGGGGTGGGTTGAAATGCAAATGCAGCGGTGTCGCCAGGTTCCTTTGCCTGTACACTGCTGTACACTGTGCCGTGCCGCCGCGATCTCTAGGCGCACCCCCAAAGAGACGAGTCTCCCCTCGATGGAGCAGTGTTGGCGTCCAGCGCCTTCCCCGCGCGTTCTGTTGTGGTCCTGCTGTGCTGTGCCTGTTCTAGCTGTTCTAGGGCTCTGCGCATATTCCTCCTCCACTGTGAATGGCCCTACTCCATGCTCCATGCTCCCACTCCCACTACCCACCCTTCCCTCCCCCTTCATGTTTTGAGCGTATAATTTCTCATACCGTCCGTCGCCGTGCAGACACGTGCAGACTGTGCAGACGACCTCTCCCCCTCCCCACCCCCTCCCCCTCACTTCCTCCCCTAGCACGTTGAAAAGCTACACATATTTTTCTCAGCTGGATATATCGTAAACTATGTTTAGTTCAGTGTAGTCTGGGATTGTCTCGGGTACGTCTTGTTGACTCTATTGTGATCGCGTGTTTTGGAAGCTGAATCAATGCGAAATAGACGAGAGCGCGGTGTTTGGATTGTTTGTCTGTGAGCATCCGACTCACCACCCTCGACGATAAACATATTGTTGTTGTGAATGTGTCGAAATTCCGTTGGAACCATTCTGCTCATGAAATTAGTTAAATGTGTGTGCAGTATCTCATTAGTGTAGACTTACTCGAAGAGACGAACTAGTTGCATTTACACAGGAAGCGGTGAAGCACTGTTGGGCAGTATAACCTGCCGGAACCGGCGAAAGGCAAATTTGACTCTGTTCTGTCTGCTACCCTGCCATCTCGTTGTATTCCAGTCATTTTGAGTGACTCTGCATCTAGATTTTTCATTTAGAGTGCTCGTTTTGAGTGTGGCGGAAGATAGAGCTGTTTTGTTTCCATGTTTCGACTTCTTAATCGTTGTGAGCTTTGCATGTCTGTAACGTCTAGTTTGTTCATAGTTCACGTACCTAACAATACTTTGTTTTGCTTTTTCAGAATCCAACATGACGTACGACGACTTGGTTAACCAGTTGGGGGAGTTTGGTCGCTACCAGAAGAGGATCTACATTCTCCTATGTTTGCCTGCAATATCCTGTGCATTTCACAAACTTGCTTGGGTTTTTCTCGGCCCAAAAGCAGATCATAGGTTTGTCCCATTTTCACTTTCCTCCTTGATTGTATAGCAAAGCAAAGTTGATTGATGTTTTCACTTTTCATTATCCAGATGTCAGCTACCATTTGAATCACCAAATGCAACATACAGACTTGCACCAGACATTTGGAATATGTCTATACCATGGGACTACAAGTTTGGAAATTTCTCTTCTTGTGAAAGATTTGATGCTACTTTTTCGGATGAATATTTTCAAAATGGCCAGCTACCCACAGAAAAAGTAGCATGCTCTAACTGGATCTATGATCATTCCAAATATCAAAGCAGTGCAGTTATGGAAGTAAGTAATTTAAATGACACTGTTGTTATTTTTAGTTTTGAATTTATCTTACTATCTCCTTCTCTTCTCTGCAGTGGAATCTTGTATGTAATAGTGCATGGCTTAGAGCAACTGCAGATTCTCTTTTCATGATAGGCGTCCTCTTGGGATCTATCATTTTTGGAGCTCTTTCTGATAGGTAAAATATCTTCCTTTATAATTTATTTTTGGCGTCTTGCACCCGCACTTTTACATTTGTATCTGTCTAGATATGGTCGGCGGCCTATATTCTTTACATCTTTAGTTCTTCAAGTGGTTGGAGGTACCTTAGCTGCTATTGCACCTGAATTCATTTCATTTGTTATTGCTCGAATGTTAGTTGGGGCTACAACTTCAGGAGTGTTTCTTGTTGCCTATGTCATTGGTAAGATTCAATTTTAATTTACAAGTTTTCTAAAAGTCTTTCCATAACATAAATCAATGATATATATATATATTTTTCTTTTGCATCTTTGAATTCTCCTTGTAGCACTAGAAATGGTTGGATCCAAAAAGCGTCTCATAGCTGGAACAGTGTGCCAAATGTTCTTCTCATTTGGCTACATGTTGACTGCTCTTGTGGCATACCTAATCACAGATTGGCGACATCTTCAAATTGCCCTGACTTTACCTGGTTTGGCATTTATGTGCTATTGGTGGTGAGCACTTATCAATAATTACATTCAGACATTATTTGACACCAGATTTTCAATTGCTTTTGCTTTTGTTTCTTCTTCTATTTAAGGTTTATCCCTGAATCTGCTCGTTGGCTGCTCACCAAAAATCGCAATGAAGAAGCTATTGAGATCCTCCTAAAAGTTGCCAAAGAAAACAAAGTTTCCATTACAGCTGAAAGAATACAGGAACTCTTAGATCAAGATGATGATGCCATAGAAACTGGCAAGGAAATGACTACCATGGAATCAGGCACCCCACTGATGAACAAAGAAACTGTTCAAAATGGAGTTGAGCACAATGTTGAGGAGGGTAAAGATCCCCAAGAAACTAAGATACTGGCAAATGGGGTTGGTGATGCTGAAAAAAAGTCTGAGGAGACATCGAGCCCTTCTGTTCTGGACCTATTCCGCTACCCTAATCTCAGAAAAAAATCTCTGAACATATTTTTCAGCTGGTACGTCAAATCAAAGTCACTTTTCTGTAATGCTTTTCTTTTCCTCTTTAGCAATCTATTCTTTAAAAAAAATGTATTTTTCCCCCTTTTTTTAAGGTTTGTTAATAGTGCTACATACTATGGACTCTCTTGGAACACATCAAACCTTGGAGGCAATGATTATTTAAATTTCCTTGTGTCTGGTGTGGTTGAAATTCCTGGTTACATAATGCTCCTCTTACTGTTGAATCGCTGGGGCCGTAAAGGCACATTGTGTTTAGCCCTGATTGTTGCTGGTGTAGCTCTTCTTCTAACATTATTAGTACCAGCTAGTAAGTGGCTTGTGATTTTTGATATTTGACTTGACCAAAGAAAGGATAGTGCTGAACCTCCTCCTTTAACTCACTATTTTTCTGCAGACACTGATTGGTTAGTTATCACTTTGGCTATGATTGGAAAAATGACTATAACTGCTTCATATGGGACACTCTACATATTTACTGCAGAACAGTTCCCAACTGTTATTCGAAATGTTGGACTAGGAGCAGCATCTACATCAGCTCGAGTTGGAGGAGTGCTGGCACCATATTTTAACTTGCTGGTGAGTTAGCTTAAATGTAGTTTCAGACTTAATGTACCTGATTGACAGTTATGATGATAATTACTTTGGTTTTGCAGGCTGACTACTGGCGTCCTTTACCTCTACTCATTTTTGGATCTCTCGCTCTAATATCGGGTTGCTTGGCTTTACTGCTCCCAGAAACTCTGAATAAGAAGCTACCTGAGACAATAGCAGATGGAGAGCAATTTGGAAAGTAAGAGAAAAAAAAAGTATTCATACAGTACATCATTTGGAGGATTGCCAAAGCTATCTGTTCACTTTAAACAACTTTCTATCTTATCTTACAGGAAAGTGAAGAGCCCAAAGCATTCACCTTCTGCTGAAGCCAATGACAGTTAACTTAGTGGCTGTCTTCTTAGAAGTCTCAAGTTCAAACATTGAGCAAGCTGATGATTTTTATGTTGTTGTTGTTTTAGTAGTAAGCTTTCAATATCTCATTTGAGATTCCGTGAGTGGTAGTGCCGTATTTGAACCAAAAATCTGTGAACAGTCATTGTGCACCTGACAAACTTAGTGTTCAAATTGGACTAATGTACTGTAAGGAAGAACATTTGAACTTAAGACTAAATGACAATATACTTGTATGTTTTATACATTGACAATATTGGTTTGACATTGGCTGCATTTAAATGTGTATGTCTAAATAGATTTTCTACAACTTGTGCCTTGTGGCATGAACCAAACTAAATTAGTTTACTAGAATCTGTTGAATATGAGCCAAATCAGTATGACTTGCACAAAGTAGTCCAGCTACTATACCAAAGAAACCTGATAGATTAATTTCAGTACAACTTTTAAAATTTTAAATAATGTGGAATACTATTTATTTATTCTAAGCATGAACTTAAGTGTTTTGTATTAAAGCTTTTATGCTTTTCTGAGCAGCTAAGAATGAAATGAGTGACTGCTCTTCCATATATTCTCTGTACTTTTGTTACATTTTTGTATGCTCTCAAACTCTTTATTTTTAACTTGTAGTAAATATTATTGATATTTTAATATACATACATCTCTCCAGTGTATTAAGCCAAGAGAAAGAAAAATGTATTGATGCATGACTTTTTTAAAAAGGGACTTTTTACTTAAATTGTAAACATTTTGCTAAGCTATTTTGAAAAACGATCTCTCTTTCAATGTGTTAGACAAAATATTGACATTATGAACCATATTTGTAATCAAACTGACAACTAGAAACTAAGTTGTGCATCGCCATGACCTCAAGTAATTAAACTGTTTCAATTGCAACCAAGTGGGCCTGCTTTTATGTTTCCTCGTGTACTCTCTCTGCTCCCTAGCCCGGAGAGCATTGCTTTAATGGGAAATTGGTTGGTTTCACAGTTAACATCAACTTGTACATACAAATTTTATTTTTATATCAATGAAGAGAATCATATGCACAGATGTGCCTTAACTCTGAAGTATGAATTAAGATACTTTTTTCTTCTTTGCAATCCTATTTTCATCATCATTAGCCTCTTCTAAAATTTTAGGCACAATTGAAATAAGTTCTTCAGTTCCAGGCTTATAATCATTATCTGCCCAGTAATCTTTCAATTTTCTCACAACCAGTGCCATTTTTTTAGCTGCAAAAGGAAAGTTTAAAAATAATCCCATCTGATCTATGTACACAACAACCACCAAACAAGTACCTACTTTGAGTGACATGGTCCTTTAAATCATTCCCCGTAACAGGCAGCCTTGGCATGGTCCATTCCTTCATTTCCTCAGCCAACTTATGTCGGCCATTATATCTTAGAGTTTCAACGCACCATTGTTGAACATCAGACAGTTTGAACTTAGTGTGCAGCATCAGCTTTTGAAATGGTCTGGAAAACAAAACAAACTCAAACGTTGCCACCCTCAGGTAACAAATGTGCTGCATTCAATTAATTACTTACAACAATGGCTTCTCACTCAATTCTTCCCCTCTATTAGCTACAATAAAGTACGCTAATTCTCTTTCAAAAACAGACAATTTCAGACGGGAATTGAGAGTTATTGCCTGTTAAGGAAAATAAAACCAGTTTAGATCCTGGCAACATAGTAAAATGACACAACATTCTTGAGAAAATTTACCTCAGACATATTATTCAAAACTGCTGCCAAATAAGAGACAGGGTTCAACTGGAAGTCTTTTGTTCTATCTATTACATAATGTAATTCATCCATATTGTGTTCTTTGGGGAGACCTGTCAAGTCAAGATAATACAGTGAAGACAGTATCTTGGTTTGTAAATAAAAACTGCACATAAGAGGTCATTGATGACAGTTCCAACAAACCTATGTAAGGGGCTATGCCAATTTCTAACATCTTGCACAATATAAGAGGGCCTGAGTTTCCAGAAATAATGAGTCGAAGCTCACTCCAGATCCTTTCTCCTGCTATTTTATTTAACCCTTCAAGATTAGAACTTATTACATTAATGGTTTCCGCATCATAATCATGTGGGTCACTTGCTATCCGTCCAAAAAATCTAAACCAAGAAGGGCAAAAACAACAATATTAAGCAATTTCCACTACTGAAATGAGAGGTAATTTAATTTGACGAACATCATTATTCATTACCTAAAGTACCGAAGTATCCTCAGATAGTCTTCCCTAATCCTGTCCTCCGCATTTCCAACAAATAAAACTCTTTTATTCATAAGATCTTCATAACCATTAAAATAGTCATACACAGTGCCATCCAACCCTAAAAGGAAAAGGATTTGGTTACAAACCAGCCATGTGACAATACTGCAAAAAGTTACAAAATTAAAATTTTCTTACCTAGAAACATAGAATTGATGGTAAGGTCACGGCGATTAGCATCAAGGAGCCAGTCCTCTGTAAACACGACCTTCGCATGCCTGCCATCAGTTTCAACATCTATCCGTAGAGTTGTTACCTTGAACGGTAATTAATGTCATGAAATATATTTGAATTAGGTCAAACCAAAAGGCAGCAGCATTTTCATACAATTCAATAGCACTCACTTCAAAATTTTCCTTGTCATTTATTCGAGGAGTTATAGTACCATGACTTTCACCTCTCTGGTTGATCATGCGTACCTCTTCTTTTGTAAACATTTCTCTCATCTGATCTGGAGTGGCTACAGTTGCAAAGTCGAGGTCCTTGGGTGCCTTGCCCATCAGCAAATCTCTACACAAAAACAGAAAACAAAATTTATTTCTGTAAACAGCAATAACTAACAGTCAATGTAATTTAACAACTGCCCTTACCTTACTGCGCCACCAGCAATACGTATTTCATAGTTGTACTTCTCAAACATACTAACCAGAGATTTCAGCTCTGGTGTAAACAGAGCCTTAAACTCTGGACTGTCCAACTTCATGATGATAGGATCGATTCTAGGTTTAGATGATGACTTATGACAACTCAATACATGCGATCCTAAGCAACCTAATCGACTGCTGCGCACCTTTGGAGCATGAAAAGAAATTAAGATCTATTCAATTTTGAGTCAATGGTTCAATTAAGAAAGAAAATTTTGAAATATATAAAATGGATAAGACAGAAACTGATGTTTAAAATCAGTTAATTGCTGGAAATATCCCAACAACTTTGCGAAATGAATAGATGGCATCCTAACCTCACCCATGTGTTGTCTAAGATAATGATGCAACAAATGAGACTTACAGAAATAGATGTAGAAAGGCCAGAAAATAATTTAATCATGAGTTTTCGGGAAAAGCACAGCATGCCCACTGACAGCCCTTGTAAAAGAAATAATCAGTAAAAGTAAAACATGAATGCAAAATAACAGCCCTCGCTCAAGCAGTGCAGTAGCCAAGTTCTATTGTTTGGATGGAGTATCAACACAAACAGACTAAATTTAAATCTATCATAACATTTCTCGCAATGTGACCACCGCTTTTAAAACAATGCATTTTGCAATAAATATTATGTAATATTCTATGAAAGTAAAGAGCTGTAGGCGCGTTTCACGGCGTTTCAGGTGAGTCGCCGCTGCTAGCTACTGTTGTCCAGCCTGGTACCGCGCCACGCATTTCCATTCAAACGGGATATCAGGGACTGCAGCAGGGGCCGAAGTATATGCGCCTTTGTGTTTACAGTGGTTTATATTTACGCATACCCGGGAAAAGAGCGGCTCTGGAGCAATTGAGCAAGTTTCGTCACCTCCAGTTCAACTTTATTTTTGGGTTTGAGGTGAGCCATAGTTGTTGTAGAGTTGCAGTGCGGCCGCAACACTCGACCGGCATGCTCAGCTGCCGCTTTTCAGGGACAAGGGGCAGAAGCGTTTCATGGAATCAGACGGTTTAAAAATAATGTGCTGTTTTATTTAATCCATAGAAGAGCCAGTGATCCTGCATGACATTGCTTAGAAGCTGGGAGCACCGTATTCGGCGGCGGGAGTGATGATGCGGGCGGGTGCGGGGGCGGGGGCGGCGTAGACGGGGGCGGGGGCTAGGAGCGGGGCAGGGGGAGGAGGGGCGTAGACGGGGGCGGGAGCGGGGGCGGCGTACACCGGGGCGGGGGCCAGAAGAGGAGCTGGAGGCGGCGGCGCGTAGACGGGCGCGGGGGCGGGGGCGGCGTACACCGGGGCGGGGGCCAGAGCCGGGGGCGGGGGAGGCGGCGCGTAGACGGGGGCGGGTGCGGGCGCGGCGTAGACTGGTGCAGGTGCGAGAACCGGGGCCGGCGCTGGAGCGGTGTAGACCGGAGCCGGGGCGGGGGCGGCGTAGGCGGGGGCGGGGGCGGGTGCCGGTGCAGCGAACACGGGCGCCGGGGCGGGGGCGGCCGGAGCGAGCACGGGGGCGGGAGCCGCTTCGACGGCGGGGGCGGCGTACTGTGGCTTTGCACCCACGGCGGCCACCAGCAGGACGCACGCGAGCACCACCTGGGGCGAAAGGGACAATGGCTCATTCAATTTCTGTTAAGATAGTCAGGGCAAACTGTGAAGAAAAATAGGCGGTATTTGAACCCGAGACTCTTGGACTCAGAGAGGAACTTACCTGGGAAACCATGTTGTCGTCTGCTCTGCTCAGTGGATGGCTGAGAATGATGCTCTGCTCGGAGGCTGCCTGGCTTTTAAGGAGAACGGGCAGCTCCGTGATGAAATGGCCGTGCAGTGGGGCGGTGCAGTGGGGTGGCAGCCGCGACGGCCAAATCTACCAAGCCAAATCAGCACCTGTATCTCCAACCCCATCTGTGGCCCTGGAATCTGAGCCGCTACACGTGCCGGCGAACGGGCACCAAACGGGTGCGAACGCAACGAGCCGCACTCGGTACTGGGCCATGCCCGCATGCCCGCTGCAAGTGTGTGGCTGCGGGCCGGTCCGGCGAGGATTCGGTTTGCACAGTCGGCGCTGAAATTCAGTAGTGTGATCCGGGCATTAGGCAGAGGTTTCGGCCTGTTCTCATGGTAATGTTATCTTATTAAAAAAGGGTGGTAATATTCCATTCCTAAGAACTTTTTGAGGAAAAAATCAGTACTATGAGAACCAACTAAATTTAAATGTATTAGATTTATTTTAGCTGCATGGCTGGCGTTGGCACTGTTGTTTGTTACCCCTGTTCTCAGTTTCACCCTTTCCCACCCCACCTCGCTGCCTGGCCTGCCGGGGCCTTCACTGCGAATTTTGGAACCTCCGGCCAATCAGGTCTTGAGGTCCCTCCAACACAGCATCCCGGTCAAAAATTGTTAAATATTTTTCGCACATAAAATTCCCCACACGGCAAAAATCTGTTTTCCCACGGACTCCCGCCCGGAAACCGCCTTTGTCTTGACTGCTACCTCGGAATACCAGGAACCGTGTTTGCCGTCGATGTTTTTCACAGTGAACATCCCGGCGACTATTTTTACTGCGCTGCATTCTGACGTAAATTGAAAAGCGAGTTTGGCGGGACTGTAAGCCGGATTGATGCTGCCGATAAGGGCCCTGTCTGCACGGGCAGCACGAAGGTCGCGACCGTGGTCGGCCTGGAACCGGACAGGAAGCCAGACGACCGCAAGAACCGCCGGGGAGGTGGAGGCTGCGCACCGCGGCACCGCCACTCCGCCCCGGAGTGAGAAATAAACCTCTGCCCCCTGGCGCACTCGTGCGCACTCGTGTCGCCGGGTGTACACCACGACTCTCCATTTTTATGACGCCACGTTTCCGACTCTCCGAAGGCATGGCCATTATTTGTTTGACGTTAATTCTGAACTAAATTAAAATTGGCACACAGTATTGTGACGGGTTGTGTATGAGTGCGTAGGCTCTGTCCTCGCAATCTATGGTGGTGTGAAAATGAGGAAAGCACGAATAGCTTCAGTGGAATCCAAGAAGTTTATTTAACGCTGGCAGGTATCAGAGCTGCAACACTGCAAGAGGGCCGGGCCGTCGCGGTTGTGTCTCGGGCAGTCCCGGGTGTCTAGGGCCTGCTGCTGACGCTGGAGCGGCGGCGGCCGGCGGGCGCGGGGTGGAACACGTAAGCCCGCTGCACGGGGTCGTAGTGGTAGATGGGCTCGGGGAAGGGGGCGGGCTCGTCGGCGACGCCGGCTTGGAGTCCTTGCAGTCCCTGCGGGTTGGCGGCGACCTCGGGGGTCACCACGGCCAGGACCAGGACCACCAGGAACAGCATCGCCGCGGACCTCTGCGGAGCAAGGGGGACGCAGTCAGTGGAGTGGAAGCGGAGGATGCATTTCACGGCGCGGTCCGGACTGCGGTTTGCGCCGGCATGGAGATTTTTCGCCTCGATGGCGGCTGCCGCCAGCATCGCTGAAACGGGCGATCGATTCGGTGAATCTGGCGCGGAGTCGAGAATCGAATTAAACGTCTCCCATCCGCCGAGGCTGCGGCCACGTTCGAGATTGCGGCGGAAGAATCCGCTGGGCAGGGATTACTCTTGAATGGAAAGGGGTTACCGTTACCGTTGTCTAAGTAGTAACACTTTACATAAAAACAGTAAATTTTGTGTTCGCTCTAACTTAGCCGTCAGAGCCACAACACGGCGCGGCGAAAGGAGGAAGGCAGACGCGGTGACTCGCCACGGGATTACGAGACGCAGGAAAAGAAATAACGTTTTGGACGCGTTGCTGTGGTGACGAACGAGAGCACCTACGCGTTGCATTTTAGAAATCAGAACCCTCGTGGAGAAGCTCACCATGATTACGACTGGGGGACGACGGGGACGTCGGGCACGCACTCGGCGCTCGCTCTGCGGCTGCACTGGCGAGCCACCGCACTGGGTTGCACTTACACGGGTTGCAGCACGCAGCCACGCAGCACGCGTGGGCGGAGAGGGGCGGCGGCTACAGGGTGGCCTGACGGGCAACCTTCGCCGCCCCGGCCGCCCCGGCGATGTAACCGCGGTGGCCAAGGCATGGCCAAGGCATGGCCAAGGTGAGGCAACGGCGGGCAACGCCACGCCGGGACAGAGCCAGATCATCCACAACCACAAAGCCACCATCGCGACGCAGGCTGTTGGGGGCCTTTTCGGCAGAAATGCTGCTTGTTTTTCTAAATGACGTGCACTTGATGGGGTGGCACATTTAAGGAGAAACAACAGTTTGCTCTAGGTAAACCAATTTTCAATCAATATAATGGGAAGTGATCAAGACCAGAGAGAGCAATCTCAAGTCAGCACAGTCAGACAAGTCGGCCCAAACCACCGTCTATGTTTTGAATAGCTTTGCAGCAAGACTGCTGTCAAACCAGAGCATGAAATCGCACTCCGTAACAAAAGCATGCTAAAGAATGCGAAAATGTTAGAGCGCTACGAGAGCAACTGGTGGGAACGCGGTGGTCCAGTGAAAGTCGGGCAGCGGGCGGGGGGAGGGGGTGGGGGCTGTTGCCGGTCATGCACATGCGTGAAGTGGGGCGTGGCTGCAATAACAACAAAAACATTCACTCGTTACTGAGCACTGACCACATGCCGGATCGATACCAAACAAGGTTTTAAAAGGTTTCTGTACAATTTAATTCTTTTTAATGCGAGATGAGTCGCAAGAAAAAGGCAAGGGCTGGCAGGCGCAGTCCGTTGGTGGCCATCTTGCGTCAAGTCTTCAGATCTCTATGGTCCTTTTCACCTCCGAAGGACTTGATCGCCTGTGGCGTAGGCCGGCCCGGCACACTCATGTGCGCAGAGTCAGCTGGATTGCCTACCCACCACTTCACAGGCGCTCGGAATAAAAATTAGTAGTTGATCAATGACGATAGTTCATCCAACAGGAGAAAACGTGCCCATGTTATTTCTGCGAATCACAGTGGCAACGTGTCCTGCTAAAAATGAAGGCACAAACGCGAGTGACAACATGGCGACTAACCTGGCGGCGACCAAAGCAGCTAACCCGCCGTCAGGCCCCGGACACCGTGCTCGTGCTCCATCCTCTGGATTGCAACCCTCCCCGCTGAACACACAGGGAGTCTGTGATCCTCTCTTCTCTCCTCTACCCAGCGAGTGCGAATGTTTTCGGGGCCCTGAAGCGCCTGCAAAGTGACGGATAGGCAAACCGCGTCTGCTCCACGCGGACGTGCGTGGCGGGACGGCCTATCCTGCAGTCCGCAGGCGTCAGGACGCCTGCCGATAATCGTCCTGCTGCACCGCATTCCTGTTGACGCTTTTCAGATATGAGGCACAGTTTTCTGGCGCGAGACGCGCCCCGCGTTGCGGCGCTGCCGGGCGCTGCCCTGCGGCCGGGACGGCTGGGACGGCCGGGGCAAAGTGGCGCAAGCGCGAAACTGGGCCAGGCCGGCGGCGTGCCCTCCGGAGGGCTGGCCGCTAGCGCAAGCTTGCCCCTCCGGCCACTCCCACGCACGTATAAAAGCAGATGCAGCCTCCGGCAATGTCACACTTCGACCCCACGGTCCAGCTCATCCACACTAAGCACACCCACAGCAATGGAGAGAATGGTGAGTACCGCACGTCATCGCTCCGTCTCTCTCGCACTCATGGCGCGGCCCGTGAGGTGTGACGGAGACAGAGCGACTGCGGAGTGGCGCACGGCCTTCTAGTGTGCTGCCCAGACGCTGACGCAGCCCTGCCTTTTTCAGACTCTGTTGGCGCTCGTCTTGGCCGCCGCCGCCCACGCCGCCCCCCAGTACCCCGCCCCGGCCCCGGTCCCCATCGCCGTCCCCGTGGACCCCGTCTTCTCGGCGCCGCCCGTGCAGCCCGTGTTCGCCGGCGGCTCCTTCAGCCCCGCGCCCTACCCGGCGGCGGCACCGGTCCCGGCGGGCGACCCCAGCGTCATCCCCATCTCCGTCGTCGGCGGGGAGTCCTTCAACGCCCCCGCTAGCCCCACCTTCTCCGTCGCCCCGGTGCCAGCGCCCGTGGCCGCTCCGTCCTTCTCCTCCGCGCCCAGCGTCCAGTTCTCCGTGAACCCCGTCCCCGCCCCCGTGCCCTACACGCCGCCGCCAGCAGTGTCCTTCGCCTCCGCCCCCACCGTGGCCGCCGCCCCGTCCGTGCCCTACACGCCCGCGCCAGCAGTGTCCTTCGCATCCGCCCCTACAGTGTCCTACCCAGCGCCAGTGGCTGCCGCCCCCTCCGTGCCCTACACGCCCGCACCAGCAGTGTCCTTCGCCTCCGCTCCCACCGTGGCCGCCGCCCCGTCTGTGCCCTACACGCCCGCCCCTGCAGTGTCCTTCGCATCCGCCCCTACAGTGTCCTACCCGGCACCAGTGTCCTTCGCCGCCGCCCCCACCGTGCAGTACTCGTCCGCTCCCATCGTGCAGTACTCCTCCGCCCCCACCTTCTCCGCCGCCCCCGTCGTCCCCGTCGTCGAGGACCCGTCGGCGTCCTTCAGCGCCGCCCCCGTAGTGCAGACCTTCTCCGCCGCCCCCGTGCTGCCCCCCGCCCAGTTCACCAGCTTCCAGAGCACGGCCTCGTTCGCCCCCTCCGTCGGCTTCAGTGGTTCCAGCAGCTCCAGCGACTTCGGAGCCGGTTTGGGCCCCGGTTACGTGGGGGGCCCGCCGGCCAGCGAGTACGGCGTCCCGCGGTCGTGACCGTTGTGACGGCCTCCGTCACGCATCGCACCACTAGTCATCTCCACCACCCATCACATCCCGTCCCGTATCTATTGTACATCATGTTCATTTTTCTTGTTAATAAACTTTAAGTAAGTTACCTAATGTGCCGCGCTTCTTGTGACCAAAAGATTGATCCCAAACTCACATTTTGTAAGAACAAATAACTGCCATCACTTCATACTGGACCAAAGAAAGTCACAGAATGCATGACATTTTTCAAACAACCAACAAAAAGGACAAAAGAAAAAAATTGAGCAGTTTGGGGGTCAGCACTTTATTTTTCACACTTCATCGGGCAGGTCAGTGCTTCTTGTGGCAGTTCAGGGAACGGCTTTAACTTTGGTGACATGTTTCGCGCTCAGAAAGTGGTTACCCCGTATTCACGGGGGCGCAGGGTAAATTTTTCACAACTCAGAAGTTGGGGACTCCGTAAACGGGAGCGGGGGCCGCAGCGATGGGAGCGGGGGCGGCGGCGATGGGGGCAGGGGCGGCGGCGATGGCGGGAGCGGCGTAGGACACAGCGGGGGCGGCGGCGATGGCGGGGGCGGCGTAGGACACAGCGGGGGCGGCAGCGATGGCGGGGGCGGCGTAGGAAACAGCAGGGGCGGCGGCGAAGGCGGGAGCCGCGTAGGACACCGCGGGGGCGGCGGCGATGGCAGGGGCCGCGTAGGATACTGCGGGGGCGGCGGCGATGGCGGGGGCGGCGTAGGAAACAGCAGGGGCGGCGGCGAAGGCGGGAGCCGCGTAGGACACGGCGGGGGCGGCGGCGATGGCGGGGGCCGCGTAGGACACTGCGGGGGCGGCGGCGATGGCCGCAGGTGCGAAGGCAGGCACGCCAGCCGCGGGGTACGGGCCCTGGGGCCTAGCCTGGGTCAGGGCGGCCAACACCACGACGAGGAACGCGACCTGTGGAAAACGGGACTGGTTAAAAACCATAACCGGTGTTCAACTATCCAAAGCATCAGCGCAGATTCCTGAAGTCTTACAGAGGAGTTCATCTTGCTGAGGGTGGTTTGTTGGATGTTACTGCCCGATGAAGCTGCTGGTCCCGAACTGTGGTCTCCAGCTTCCAGCGCCAAGTGTTTTATACTCGCCGCGTCGCTGCCTGATGCATCTAGTCCTACCCCCGGATCGATCCACACACTGTGGTCTGTGGGCCGATTAAGAGTTGAGGAGCATAACACGATGGCTGTCGAGGCTGAACTTAAAGTATGTTCAAATGCACCTAACCTAACCTAGCCTACAGGCCTAGCACTGCCGGGAACATAAATTCGCGGAAACTGGCCCAAAAAGTCGTGTTTTGGGCCGACTTTAAGCAGCCACTGCGTCCGATCCGAGGCGGGCCTTCGTATTTTCTCAACGGGCATTTCGTCTTTGCACCTTCCTTTAGCATGCCTTTGTTACGAAGCGCGATTATCCGCCTTAGTTTGGGAGCAGTATTGGCTCAAAATTGATCAAAACGGTCAAAACTGCCTTTGAAAAATCGTGTTTTGGGCTGACTTTAAGCAGCCTTTGCGTCCGATCCGAGGTGGGCCTTCGCACTTTCTCAACGGGCATTTCGTCTTTGGACCTTCCTTTAGCATGCCTTTGTTACGGAGTGCGATTATGTACCTTAGTTTGGGAGCAGTATTGGCTCAAAGTTGATCAAAACCGACTTTAAAGGCATTTTTGACCGTTTTGGTCAACTTTGAGCCAACACTGCTCCCAAACTAAGGCTGATAATCGCACTCCGTAACAAAGGCATGCTAAAACAAGGTCCAAAGACCAAATGCCCGTTGAGGGAGAACAAAATACCGCCTTGGATCAGACGCAGTGGCTGCTTAAAGTCGGCCCAAAACACGATTTTTCAAAGGCATTTTTGACCGTTTTGATCAACTTTGAGCCAATACTGCTCCCTAACTAAGGCGGATAATCGCACTCCATAACAAAGGCAACCTATGGCCTAGGCACAGACCGACTTCGCGCTGGTGGTCGCCGGTCCTGGGTTTCCGTGCATTATTGGTTCATTCACTTTTCTCCTCACGCACTAATTCAACAGAGTGCCTTGCGGTTTCCTGTGTCGGCAAGCCTTTCTCGGTGTGCGTGGATCTGCCGCTTCCGAAACTCAATGACGCCACGGTCCGCAGATCAATCAAAACACTGTGGTCTGCGGCCCATTAAGGAACCAGGCGCTTGGTATAAAACGACGGCAGTGGAAGTCGATGGTCACATTTGGGTCGGCGCAGCAGCTTCATCAGGCAGTTCACCTCTCACAGCACCACCACCAACACCATGAACTCCTCCGTAAGCATCCCATCCAGACTTTGTACAAACTAATCTGGTTATTGAGCTCCAATCCTCGTGTACATGCAAACTGCTCTCATTGCCACAGGTCGCCTTCCTCGTGGTGGTGTTGGCCGCCCTGACCCAGGCCAGGCCCCAGGGCCCGTACCCGGCGGCTGGCGTGCCTGCCTTCGCACCTGCGGCCATCGCCGCCGCCCCCGCTGTGTCCTACGCGGCCCCTGCCATCGCCGCCGCCCCCGCGGTGTCCTACGCAGCTCCCGCCATCGCCGCCGCTCCCGCAGTATCTTATGCGGCTCCGGCCATCGCCGCCGCCCCCGCCGTGTCTTACGCTGCACCTGCGTTCGCCGCCGCCCCCGCAGTATCCTACGCCGCCCCCGCCATCGCCGCCGCCCCCGCGGTGTCCTACGCTGCTCCCGCCATCGCTGCCGCCCCCGCTGTGTCGTACGCTGCCCCCGCCATCGCCGCCGCCCCCGCAGTGTCCTACGCTGCACCTGCCATCGCCGCCGCCCCCGCCCCCATCGCCGCCGCCCCCGCTCCCATCGCTGCGGCCCCCGCCCCCGTTTACGGAGTCCCCAACTTCTGAGGTGTGAAAAATTTACCCTGGGCTACCGGCACTACTGTCCTGACCCTGCCTGATGATGGAGCGTGTGAAATAAAATGCTGACTTACCAATTATTTTGTTTTCACTCTCCCGCCCACGAAACTTTTTATTAGAAAGTCGAGCCGTTTACCTCCTTGTTGGTGGAGGGTTCTTTTACTTTAGCCTCACCCATGGAACACTTGTAGTTATTTATACGCTCGCCAACTGCATGGGGCTGCATGTGTAGCGGGCATGTTGCGCTCTGAATTTTTGACGTAACACTCCAAAGCATTGACTGGCACTAAAGTGTTGTAACTATGTCAAAATAATGGGCATCTTGCGGAAGTAGTTTTGCCTCCACGAATCAATCATGTTTGTTTGGGGCACCAAAATGTGTTTAGTACCAATAGAATTTTTGAAAAAGTTTGTTTTGTCTCACGTGTATGAGACCTTCACTGGTGAAACAAAGGCATAAAAATTATGCCCTTAAAGGGCATAAATCGTTAATGCCTTTGGGAAGGGCATTAAAATTTTGCTTGAAATTCCTATACCATTTATGCCCTTCCCAAGGGCATAAAACGATTTATGCCCTTGCAAGGGCGTAAAAGAGTATTTATGCCCTAAAGGGCGTAATTTTTATGCCTTTGTTTTACCAGTGTTGTCAGAGCAAAGGAGTTAAAATCAAAAGAAAAACGAAAATCAGAAAACAAATATGGGGTTGGGTCAGCAATTTATTTTAGGAACTTTATCAGGCAGATCAGTGTTGGTATGGCACAGGAGGAGGGGTACGTGTAGAGCTCAGAAGCTGGGGGTTCCATACTCAGTGGCGGGCACCACCACATGAGAGCCTGCGGAGGCGAACGACACTGCGGGGGCGGGGGAGTAGGACGCCGGGGCAGAGTAGCTCACAGACGGGGCTGAGTAGGTCACGGAGGGAGCGGCCGACACTACCGGTGCAGAGTAGGACACGGAGGGCGCAGAGTAGGACACCGAGGGTGCGGGGGCCACGGACACTGGGGCTGAGTAGGTCACGGGGGGTGCCGAGTAGGACACGGGCGCGGAGTAGGACACGGAGGGAGCAGAGTAGGACACTGGGGCTGAGTAGGACACGGAGGGTGCAGAGTAGGACACTGGAGCGGGGGCCACGGCAACTGGCGCCGAGTAGGACACGGAAGGCGCCGAGTAGGACACTGATGGCGCAGCGGAGAAGGACACCGGGGCGGAGTAGCCCACGGACGGCGGCGCTGAGTAGGTCACTGGCGGCGCCGAGTAGGACACGGGGGGCGCAGAGTAGGACACGACGGGGGGTGCAGAGTAGGTCACTGAGGGCGTGGCGGCCGGGTATGGACCCTGGGGTCGGGCCTGCGTCAGGGCGGCCAACACCACGACGAGGAAGGCAACCTGCACAGGAAATGATTCTTGGTTAGAAACCGAGGTTCAATCGAGTTCAAAAGCACACCAGGGTTCATTCCAGGAAGCTTACGGGGGAGTTCATGGTGGCGGAGGTGCTGGTGGACTGTGAGATGAACTGCCTGATGGAGCTGCTGGACCCAAGTGTGATACTCAGCTTCCGCGGCCACGGTTTTATACAAACGGTTGCTTCCCGGCTCCGGGTAGACGCCCTCCACTGACCACAGTGCCAGTGTGGGAATGGATCCGGCGCAGCAGCTTGGAGTGGCGTCAGTGCACGTCAGTGCAGTGTGGGAGGGGAGAGGCAGAGACTTAGCCCCGAGGTTTGTGGCGAAGCGCCCGGCGTGCGACGGACGACGCCGACGGCCCTAGTACATCCACCCACGCAAAATCTCAATCGGTAAGGCCTTTCCACCTCCGAGACACGACAGCCACTCCAAACGTAACGGGATCGCCTTGTTTCAGAAGGTGAGTAATACTCGACTGACTCACCGACACACCGGGACTGGGGCTGCGCGAAGACAAAAAATGAAAATGAAACGAGTTTGTTCTGCTCTCGTGACTCATCTTGAGACCGTTTCGGGATGACTCGGTCGCTTTCCTTGTAATGCCTGTGACGGATATCCGTACCTCATCTTATTTAGGCGATCGCTGGACGGCAGGGCGCGCTGTCAAAAACAATCTGGTGAATTCCCGAAGAATAAGTAGAGGGTTGCCTGCCATCTTCGGGAAATTTTGGGGGGGTTACGCGGGAGGCACGGGGCGCGGGGTCAGAGCCCTGGCCGTACGCGCTGCCAAGCGATTCCGAAGAGCCGTCTCATCGCTCCGTCTCAGTCGCACTTCCGAGGCACTCCACCAGGGTGCGAGAGAGACAGAGCGACGAACCGCGCTGCTTCACGTGGCCGCGTGGCCGGTCATGCCTGTCCGAGCCACCGAGTTCCCACCGCACGGCCGCCGGCGGGATCGCGGTTGTCGGTAACTTTCCCCAAAACGGCTTACTACCCAGAAAATGAAAGGCCCACTTGCCGATTTGCCCTTGACAGAGTGGAATACTCTGGCGTACTCGGTACTCGCCGGCAATTACTATTCTGCCGGATTTTATGTTTTTGATCGGTCTTGCTATGTTTCACGCAAACAAGAGTCACGAATGAAGTAGCATCTAACAGGAAATGAGGCGTAGTTTAATGAATTGATTAATTATTCACCAACATCGCTTTCGGCCTCGCCGTGTTTCCTCCAGGCTGCTGGTTCCTGGTGCCGCGTAACCACACCGTGCTTCTGCTTTGCCCTTGCTTTCTTTTTGGCAGTGTGCTCCGCGCTCCGCAGAGAACACGGCTCCGCCACGGCTCTGCTCTCCCCTCTGGGTATGGGTCATCCCGCACCGTCCCGCGGCGCGCGCCCAGCGGCCCAATCACCGCGGCACTTGGAACAGCCGCCGGTGGGGTCGGGAGAGGGGATGGGGGATTATTTAGAATTAGATGTAAAAGGGGTACCAGATGGAATAACCCGGGGCGCGGCACGCGTATAAAAGCAGTCGTGGACCCCAGCAGGGCACATTGCACATTCAGCCAGCGGACGAGCGTCAATCGGACATCATGATTCGGCAGGTGAGCAGGCTGGCTGGGGCTGCGGCCGCGAGCACGCCCATGAGGCCGTCCTCCTTGGGGCGCCTTGAGGCCAACGCCGCCCCCCGGGCCGCTGTGGCTAGGGGTGCCCACCGCGATCAAGACCTGCAGCGAGGGAGGGAGGCAGCGAGCCCGTCTCACATTTGCTCTCACGGTGTGCCCCACAGGCCCTGACTCTGGTGCTGCTGGGCGCCGCAGCCGCACTGGCCGCCCCCAGCCCGCAGTACCAAGCCGCAGCCCTGGCGCCCGCCGCCACGCCAGTCGTGGCCGCCGCGCCGCCGCCGCCAGTGCCCGAGTACGTCGCCCCCGCGCCGCCGCCGCCACCGGTCCTGGCGGCGCCACCACCAACGTACGCCGCCCCCGCGCCGGCCCCCGTCTCCGTGCCCGTGTTCGCGCCGCCCCCCGCCGTTGAGCCCGTCTACGCCGCCCCGGCCCCCGTCCCGGCCTTCGCACCCGCCGTGTACGCACCTCCTCCGCCAGTACCTGTTCCCCAGTACGCTCCCACCGTCCTGGAGCCGGTCGCCGCGCCAGTGTACGCGCCTCCTCCGCCACCCCCCGCACCCATTCCGGTCCAGCAGTACGCCGCCCCAGCCCCAGTGCCTGTCGCCACGCCGGTGTTCGCGCCGCCGCCTCCTCCTGTCGTGGAGCCCACCTACGCCGCGCCAGCCCCAGTGCCCGTCGCCGCGCCCGTGTTCGCGCCGCCGCCCCCGCCCGTCCTCGAGCCTACCTACAGCGCCCCGGTCATCGCCGCCGCCCCGACGCCCGTGTTCACCCCCGCGGCTGAGTACGGCCCCGCCCCCGCGTTCGCCGCCGCCCCAGCTTTCGCGGCGGCCGCCGCCCCCGCCTTCGCTGCTGCCGCCCCCGTGGCGGTCGGCTCGGCCTCGCCGTACACCTGCGCAGGCTGCAACGCCGGCATCTCCGCCGAGGCGGGCATCCAGACGGCCTTCGCGGCCGCCCCTGCCTTCGCGGCCGCGCCTGGCTTCGCGGCCAGCTCCGCCTTCGCGGCCGGCCCTGCCGTCGCAGCGGGCCCCGCCGCCGTGGCCGTCGGCGCCGAGGGTGGCTTCGCCTCGACCGTCACGTCCGGTTTCGGCGCGGTGGCCGCCGCACCCGCTGTCGTGCCCAGCACGTCGTATGGCACTCCCTTCTAGGCCGGCCTGCCAGACTTATGTAATTTAGCACTATTTTTAATTATGGAATATACTATTTATTTACGGAAGTTTCTGTACGTTTTTAATCTATACGACCCTTTCCTCTTTTACCCCTTTTGCTTCCACACGATCACTCAATTTTGGTGAAACGAAAAGAAACATAAACCCCTGCTGAAGATGATTATGGAATAAGACAATAGCCGAGCCCTGAGCCGAGCAAGCCCAGCTCATAAACAATGTTTTTAGATGCGCACTTCAAAATCTGGAAACCTGGCGCCAAACATTCAATGAAAACATCTGCGCACTAAACTAATTACAATCGCCGACAGTTTCAACAGAGTTACACAACCATATGGCATGCCTATCGAATTACAACGGTAGTTCGGACACTGTTGGGTTGCGAGTAAACCGTCAGCCCGGTGACGAGATCGCCTACGCGACTCCCGGCACACCTCCACCAAACGGATGCCCGGTCGCTGCGCGCGGCGCCTCGTAGCCCGGAGCGAAAAGATAACAGCAACATCAAAGATTACTTTGCGTTGACGCGGCTCGCCGTGCGGTGCGTGAAAATCCACCCGACCGCAGCCCGGGGCGACGGGCAGCGCGACAGCGTGAACAACGTGAGCGCCACGTCGAAGCGAATGCTGTACTCTACTTAAGATGTAATCCACTTTCCCCTGTTGCTTCGGAATAGAAGAGAAAAATTAAAAATTCCAATGTTAATTGCATTGCAAGGTGTTCCCATTTTCATGTAAGGCAGCCACTGCGTCTATTCTAAGGCGGCTAATCGTTCTCCCTCAACGGGTGGTTACTCTTTGGGCCTTTCTTTAGAACACCTTTGTTACGGACGGAGTGCGATTGGCCGCCTTAGTTTGGGAGCGGTATTGCAGCAAAGTTTGTCAAAACGGTAACAAATGTGTAGAAATCGTGGTTTGGCCTGACTTTAGGCAGCCACTGCGTCTAATCTAAGGCGGCTAATCGTTCTCCCTCAACGGGAGGGCACTCTTTGGCCCTTTCTTTAGAACACCTCCCGACCGCTTCAAAGAAAGGGGCGGATTGAGTGCAGGGGCGTCAAAATGGCCCCCATGCCGTTACTGCCTGAGGCCGAGGCCCCGAGGCGCCCAGCCCGGCGTCTCCCACTCGCACAAACAGCGCACACTCATCGAGAGATTCCCACAGCCGGCAGATTTAAGTCTGCGCTGGGGGTAAAGCGCCTCGGGAAATATCTTCCGAGTATAAAAGCCTCGGCATTCGAACGGGGGGCCATCAGTTCTCCACTGCTCTTCGTGGCAGCAACACCATAACTCTAGCAACCAACAAACGAACCAACCAACCATGATCCATCAGGTGAGTGATTAATATGGAAATATTCACAGAGTGGTAGCCTCAGAAATTACCTGAAAAGCGAGGGTGTCAAAGTGACAATGACTGTCTTCTGAGAGAGCGCCGTCCCGCGCCCTCCAAAAGCCAATCTGGATTCAGTGCCTGAATCAGGCTCCAATGGAACAACCGTTCGCCCTTTGACTTGCCTTTCCTCTGTGTCCTCCAGATCCTTTCTTTGGCCTTGCTCGGCTGTGCCCTGGCCGCCCCGCAATACCCGGCTGCCGAATATGGCCCTCCAGCCGTGGCGTCCGCCCCCGCCCCCCTGCCCATCCCTCCGCCACCGGAACCCCTAGCGCCTCTACCAGCCCCCGCCCCCACCTACAGCGCGCCTGCCCCCGCGCCCGTCTACAGCGCGCCTGCTCCAGCCTACAGCGCACCGGCTCCCGCGCCCGTCTACAGCGCACCGGCTCCCGCCCCGGTCTACAGTGCACCGGCTCCCGCCCCAGTCTACAGTGCACCGGCTCCCGCCCCAGTCTACAGTGCACCGGCTCCCGCCCCAGTCTACAGTGCACCGGCTCCCGCCCCAGTTTACAGCGCCCCCGCCCCTGCACCGGCCCCACTGCCGCTTCCTGCGCTGCCCGCACCTGCTCCAGTCTACAGCGCACCAGCCCCCGCCCCCGTCTACAGCGCACCTGCTCCCACCTACAGTGCACCAGCACCCGCCCCCGTCTACAGCGCCCCCGCCCCCGCCTACAGCGCACCTGCCCCCGCCCCCGTCTACAGCGCTCCGGCCCCCGCCCCCATCCCAGCAGCACCAGCCCCCTTGCCAGCCCTGCCAGCCCCCGCCCCCACCTACAGCGCGCCTGCCCCAGCCCCCGTCTACAGTGCCCCCGCCCCCGTCTACAGCGCACCCGCCCCCGCGGTCGTCACTCCCGCAGCTCAGTACGGCCCCCCTGGATCCTTCTAATCAAGCTGCTAATTGTAAACAATGTATCGCACGGCCGTTCGTCCCATTCTGGAGGGCGGTCAGTGTAGCACTACTTGTACCTGGTGTTGTTCCTAGATGTAGTAATAAAGACGTGTTTCTAAAATTCTGTGTGGATTATTATGCGACAGGGGAAAATGACAAGTTCCATTCTCATTTATCAACTTTTTATTTGGATTTTCAATATTTTTCACCAGAAAGCACAGCAATTTAATTATTTTAAAAGTCTAGTATCACAATCAACAAGAGTCAAACAACTCATTCCAAAATAGCTAAATTATAAAGACAGTTGGAGTAGAACAAAATTTTGTTAAGGAGACATTTGGCATATTTGGCATATTTCAATCTATGACAAAAGCTACCTGTTATCTTTAAACAGCATAATAACAGTACTTAAAATTTACTGAAGTATCAATTCATTTTTTCCAGACTTTTCTGATAAGATACTCCAATCAATTTTTTCCAACTAAAGTTTCTTTTCTTAAATTTTTACAATTAGGGCTGCTTATTTGCTCAACTTTTGGAAGATGCTTGTTGTGAAACTGGACCTGACAGTAAGATAAGAAAAATGAAATTACATGTTACACCTCACCACTTATGCCTCTCAAGACATAGATGACTTTATGAAGAATGAATGTTACGAATGGGTTGAGTTTATACAGGCGCAACATATTACAAGATTTATTAGGTATCAATCAAAATAATGACAATATTGCTGAATAATAATGAAGAGCTCTGAAACCGATGTGACCCAGTACAATGCAATGTCACACAGATCAATGTACAATCCATACTCACATTATCGCAGACCACATAGGTATCTGTAGCTGGGCTCAGTAGATGGCTTAAAGTACATTACAAAGAAAAGTGACTAAGTAGTTTCAGCTATGAAGGATGAAAAATATTTAGTTCAATCTAAACAAATTTCTTAAATATTTAAGGCAAGATCATTCAGATAAAATGGGCACTCATACAGTAATGCAAGAATAGAATAAAACTTTGAAAAAAAAAAACATTTAAAAATAAGAAGAGAAAGAGATCACCAAACAACTTCTTTTCTTGACTAGATATTGCACCAAATAACAGTGCTCAATTTTCTACACTAGATCTAAGATCACTACACTTTCTGGAAAACAACGCAAAGTGACACTCCTTACAATTAATTGATCATAGATATATGATTTTTCACATTTCCAGCTGGACATCTCAGATTTCAAACCAGTAAAGTGTAAAAGAAACTTTATTTTTACAAAAGGTAAGATCTTTTCTTTGAAACCATATTTTACAAATCCTTTATGAAACTGAGATGCACACTGGGTGTCGAATTAAATTCAGTGTGCGTGTCCAAGTAGTGCAGCAATTACGTCACAGTCTTTAATTATATCAGCTCATAAAGGAATAAATACTAAAAACAATTTTAAAAACTAACCAATCTTTAGCATCCCTAACACATTTGTTAATCATCTGCAATTCAAATTGACTCACCCAATTACAAGGTTAAATTATTTTCAAGATCAGCATCATGGTTGTAGTTGACAATACCACGGTCATCAGTTTCGGCTGCAGTCTCCCTTTCATGTTTTAGCTCTTTAAACTCTGGGTTAAATTCTTGCCAGGTATTCTCTTTAGACCACTGATGTTGATTTTGGTCACCTTCCTCCATGTGTTCAGTTGTATAGTTCTGATGAGGGAGATCGATTTGATATGAATTCATTTGTTGAGGTAAATTGTGCACCTGCTGTACATGTTGATTATTGTATGTTGATGAACCAATGTGTTGAGAATAAACGTTAAGGCTTCTCAATTGCTGAGAATGCGACTCCTGATGAAGCTGTTGGGGCTGCATTGGAGAAATTTGATGCGCATCAAGGGTTTGAACTTGCTGCTGAGGGACGAGTTGGAGAATTTGCATTTTGCATGCCTGGGAGGACTGGGCAAGAGGGCTCTGGTACGGTGACTTTGGAGGAGCCATCAGGTGTGAATCCACTTCTGCACTACTAATCGGAGGCTGCTGCTGGAAAAGGTGTTGATGGGAATGGGACTGGTGCGGAAAGAGATGGAGTTGCGACTGTTGGCTTATTTCTTGCTGTTGTGGATGCTGATAATGTTGAGAATATTGTTGGAACTGCTGCTGTTTCACAGGTTGTTGCTGATGTTGCTGCTTTGCTGGTTGTTGTTGATGTAGCAATGGCTGTTCATGATTCCTTTCATTTTCAGCCTGATCATATGCCGACGCATGACTGCCCTGAGGAGACTGAGACTTCTTTGGCAGGAAAGACAGGGGCATGCTGTTAGGCACTGTTGCCAGTAGTCCTACAACACAAAAAAACGGAGAGTCAATAAAACCAAAACTTTCAGAATTAGGAGAAAACAATTCACAGCTTCTCTAGAGCAAGGAAACCTCACCAAGCCTATTATGAATAGTGAGAACACAAAAATAAATATCAAGATCAGTAAATTCCATAGATTATGCACCTTAGAGGGCCACTAGGAAAGAGAGCCAAAAAGATAAACCATCAAAACATTTTGCACTCTCTTAAGAAGTTCGCACTACTTTTATTTGTGGGGAAGGACCACATAAATACATATCCAAGCCTGTTTCATTCTCTTGACTTTTCTCAATGTCCAAACACAATGCCATCATTGCATAAAAGCACAAACTTCACACAGGTATTCATACAAACAGATAGGGTACCACCATTGCAGAGCTAGTATCATCTTCGCCATTAATGTCAAAAATTTCTATCGTTAGGCAGGTGTGTTTTAATTTTGAGTTCATGAAGATAGACACCAGTAGCATAAAGCACTTACTAAGCTGCTCCTTTAATAGCGAACTTCCAGCGCCGGTCCCTGAAAAACAGCATTATGGCCAAAATTAGAGCTCAAATTTTGCTGTAAAAATTGTATTTGTACCACATATCTATTCGTAACCATGTGCTGCACATTAAAATTTCAAAATTGAGAAAAAATAAGAAACAAGAAAAGACAAGTGGTAATATATAATGTGTGTATGTAACTGTAGTGAACATGATTAGTGCACTATGTTTAGCTCACATAGTGTAGTTTCATAATACAGAAATACTATATCTAATGTACAGTACATCATGCATTTTCTGAGACTATTGACAACTAGGTAGAACTAAATCAAAGCTGAAAATAACTTTAAATACTAATTATAATTAAATGGTGTGGAAAAATGCTTAAGACTTTCGTCTTAATCTAAAAAATTATTATAAAATATGAACACATCTTTCACCAAAGCACAGAATGAGAGGCTATAGAAACACAAAATGCTACAGACTCTTTAAAAAATAATAATAATAAACACTACATGTGCAGATGGCAGATTATTTACAAGAATATTAGCAACTCTTAACGGACAATGTATGGTGTTTTTACCTGAACCACGATATTTGCTCAATTGGGTGTAGACCTGTTTCATACGTTCTATGTTTATCCTGCTTGCTAAACCATGATTAACCATTGGCTTTGGATAATCTTTTCCAACAATGCACTTGGCAGACCGTTGCACACTCTCAGGGGCAATCCAGGGTTCATGAATGAAGCGTGTCGGAAAATTTTTCAGGACAGGCAGGTAACGCCTGCAACAATTAAATAAATTTTAATTTGCAGTCCTAAAATAAATTCTTTCCCAGATGAATGCAATAATAATGTCAACCTTATGTAATCTCCATTAGGATCTGCCTTCCGCCCAAATCGAACAGGACAGTAACAATGGAAGAATTGTTGGAAAAATGAAGAACATGAGAGCCACATCCACATCCCAGCATTGACTGACCAGTCAGCATCAAGCAGCAGCTCTTCAAACACCTTAAAAAACAATAAATTGATGGAAAGTTGTTCAAAAATGTTTTTAACATAATTATGTAAATTATTTAAATAAGTAGCCCAAGGCCATACCTTCATGCCCTCCTCCCAAGAAATCCATAAATCTCCCCTTGTTAAGAAGCATGCTACAGCATGCCTTGCCAAATGGTGAATCCACCCTTCTTCCCGAAGTTGAGTCATGATAGCATCTATCCATGGAAACCCAGTCTGACCCTACAGCCAAGGAGAAACAATTAAGTAACACAAAATTGGAAGAACATACTGGACTCATTTTTTTCACATCACATACATTAGCCCACTTGGCAATGGCCTCCGCATTATGGTCCCAAGGTATTTGAACACAAATTGGATTGCCCACCATTTTGTCAAAAAAGGGATTTCGGGTAGCAGCACAGTAAAAAAATTCACGCCACAAGAGCTGTCCATGAAGAGAGAGGGGAGGAACAGCCTTCTTTATCTGTAACATCAAGAAGAACGAACTTAGAAAACCTTTCAGAAAAATTAAAGGGTGGAATGAAATAATGCAGCAAATTAGTCGAAGATTGTTTATACCTTTTTGTAGAGATCAGTAAGTTGATAATAAAATAATCTTGTAGAAAGACAACCAAACCGAAGGTAAGGAGATAAACCTGTTTGGCTTGGCAGAAGTGACTGAGGGGTCATTTTTGGCCTACCAAAGGAGGCAACCCAAGCCTTCCGTTCCAGGTGATGCTCTAAGCGTGCTAATGCTTCTGTCTCACCACCAATCCACACCGCAGGCTTCAAGCCCTCAGTATCAAATCCTAGAAAAGAAATATGTTAAAGCCATTAACAACCTATTCTAAATCCACTTGACAAGGTATGGTCAAATTGCAAGTCAAAATTACCTAACTCTTCCAAAGTGGGTACACCATACTTATCATCATGGTCATCTGCAATTGGAGTGAAACAATTCTGCATATTGCTTGCAGTGATGGTAGGCTTGGCTTGAGGTGGAAGATCCATAGATGCAACAACATTCTGGAACTGGTGGTAGGTAAGAGGCGGCTTGCCCCCATTCTTCTCAATAATCCTGTTGGGATTAGCATAATTGGTACTATATCCACTTTTTAAACTGAAATTTCTTCTAAGACACAAGTTGAAAAACTATTGCTAAAGTCAAAGAAAATTTATGTTCCTTTTAATTAACTTATTCATTATTTCAAAATTGTTTAAAACTTAAATTTGTGGGAAAACAAAATGCACAAATGCACTACAAATTTCAAATGAACAGTTATTATTAATTTGCTGTGGAATACATACTTTTGAAGTTCATATAATGTGTGCGACACCATTGAAACTACACTAATACTGAGCTCCTTGCACATGGTCATTATGTTTTGGTCACGTACACGTCCAAAAGGTTCTGGGTCCTCTTCAAATGTCAAATTAGTTGTGCCCCATTCCTTAGGAACAGATAACATTTTTAATATAAACTTGACATAAAAATTTAAACAGATTCAAACAGGTGCGTATCCGCGGGAGGGGTGGGGGGGGCCTGGTCAGGGCTTTTTTTTTTATCCCTTAATAAAACGCCTGATGAGTAGGCACACTGTCATACAATCCGCCTGTAAGTAGGCAACCAAGGCCCCTCCCTCTTTTCGGAGTGTGGACACGCGCCTGGATTCAAACACAGCAGTCTACCTTGAAGAGTTTAGGAAGAGCATCTGCAGGCTGTCCACGGATGACGAACAGACGGGAATTGAACTTGCGAAGACTGCGGTCCAAGTCCTCAAGACATTGCAAAAGGAACCTAAAAAAAAGAAAAAAACATATAGAGAGGTGTGAATGAAGAGCGACCCCCCCCCCTCAAAAAAAAATCTGTCCCCCTGCCCACCCCTGCACGTCCTCCGAGGGGTATAGAGACGCAGTGGGTGTAAAATGACAGATAGTAAACAGCATTCTGGAGGCACGCGCCATTGCAGACGGCAGCTAGTTTCCTTACCGCCACTTGTTGATGCCCACGTTGGAGGAGCCGGCGAACCAAGGGTCCAGGATGAAAACACACCTCAGGGTGGTGGCACCCCGCAGCCCCTCGCGGAGGCTGGGGTTGTCATGGAGGCGCAGTCCCTTGCGGAACCAATGCACGCTATGCTTCTGGCGCGAGAGCGCGGGCACGGCCATGGGGACGGTCATGGAGTGGGCCTGGTTGCCCTGGTTGCCAGCCAGGGATGGCGCGCATCCTCCCGGTGCTGGTGCAGGAAGGGCAGACTTAGAGACGGACGTGGCTGACTGCGCCGCGGGGGTGGCCGACGGGGTGGCCGACGGGGTGGCCGACGGGGTGGCCGACGGGGTGGCCGACGGGGTGGCCGACGGGGTGGCCGTCGAGGTGGCTGACGGGGTGGCCGTGGGGGTCGGGGTTGCCGACGCCGCAGCCGAAGGTTCTGATTCGGGTTCCGAAGAACTCATGCTGAACTTGGCTCACCTGTTGACACGCCTCACCCTACGGCTGCGGGTCATTTTGGTCGTAAGACACTCAGGAGGGCCACTCACGGGGGGTGTACCCAAGGGGTGGTGGGCTGAGGGCTGGCTATGGGGGCCGGAGCCGCTGACATGGGCAACCCAGGCAGCGTCACAGTCACCTCACAGCACTTTGGAACACTTTCCAACACTTCACAACGGCCAAGGAGGAACAACGATCCACTTCTACGCCTCGCCGCCACGGCGGGTTAAGGGGCCAGTCCGCTGGCACCGGACTGTACACTGTACGCACACTTGCACTTCTTGAACTTGCAGAAAACCAGCCCTGTATACGCACTGCGCGCGCGAAATGCCACTCTCAGTTTGTTGTTGTTGTTGTTATCGTCTGCTACTCAAACCGTACAAAGTTTGGGTGAAGGTTCCGCACGGACACGACTACGATGCTGCTGCCAGCTCGGGCTGTGCCGCTGCTGCTCGCTTTCGCTGCTACTGCCGCCTCAGCTGCCGCACCGCACCGCTCGCAGCCCAGACGGCCGAGCGCTTCCAGAACAATCCAGCCTCAGAACAACGTGCCTGCAACGTGACTTGGGCCGCGGGGCCGGCGGGCCGCCCGGGCGCCGCGGTCGATCTGGGCTGCCATTGGCCAGTCCAGTCACATGGCCTGCTTGGCGGGCCGTGGCGGGGCGCGCGGGCCGCCCGGTCACGTTGCAAGCCATGTTGCCACGGCTGGCGGGGCTGGCAGGGCTGGCGGCCCGGGAGTCCCTGTCCTTCCCCGTCCCCTCACCCCTTCCCTTCCCTGGCGCGAGGCGGCGCGTGTGTCGGTGCCGAGCGGCGGCCGAGTGCCGCGCCGCCCCGCCGATTATTCCCCGACGCCCCTTCCCTGCCTTCCCTGCCTCACTTGTGGCGCTTCCCGCCTTTTTCGACAAGCGAATGAGAAATTTTCTTGTGGCCGCTGCGTCTTCTTCAGTTCAATCTTCGTCGGGGAAGACGAAGACATAGGGCATGGGCACATCGAGACAAGTGAAGGTTTCACTGGGGATCATTGAGCGGGATCATTCAAATGCTCCCCTTTTTGTAAGGCATGGTGTTTACTGCTGAAAGAAGATAAATGTTGCAAAGATGCCTAGAGGGCATTGGTAGGCATCGAAGCACGCATAGAAGTTGCTGGAGAGTGTTAAGATTGCTTCATCAAACTTTGGCCTTAATGAAAGTAGGACCCCCAGCGATAGCGCCTGCTGGGTAGGCAACAAGCAGTACACAACCGTCCATAACCTCCAACTGCATAGCTTTTATTTGTTTCACGTGATGAAGTCCTAAAATTTTCAATGAATCCATGTTCCTGTAAGGCACGAATGCCAATAAATTCGTGGGCGAGTGATAACCTCCGCTTAAATCGTAGATATATCGTAGGAAAGACGTCGAAATTCAAGCTTCCCGCGAGATTGATCCCCAGTGAGTAGAGAACGTTCTGGGTCCCATCACCGCTAGTGACTTTCAAAGAGCCCACTGCCCATGCTCTATTCGCCGTTATCCATATCCACACGGCAGAAAGCCTGTGTCTCGGCGGTGTGGCGGAGTTGCCCCGACGGCTTTTCTGCACTCTGCGCGATTCCACCGGACGACTTCGAGCCCAATGCACCACCCACCACCCACCACAGTCCCGCTTTCCTATGCTTTATTGAGTCGTGCGGCCTAACAGGCGGGCGGACCTTCAGCTTACGCTCCTCGTCAAGCAGGATTTACATTTCGAGTTCTTCCGTTGTTCGCTTAGGTTTCCCTGAGAAAGAACTCTGGCTTGCGTACGTAACGACCCTTGATGTCGCGTAAGTCTCGTGCTGCCGAGGTGGGGAAAAGGGGGAGGGGGCGATCTGGGCCACGGAAAATAACAAGTTACGTAACGATTTTAGTGACATTGACCGCTACAGGAATGTTTGAATGGCCAATAGGCCGGACTGCGAAAAAGTGTGAAGGATTTCCCTTGGAGGATTAGGCGATGGACCTTGGAGAGGAGCTATACCGAGGACAGAGAAGCAGGGCAACAAAAAACTGAAAAAAAGCATCGTTTGTTTTTGAAACTCAAATGATGGCAGCACGCGCGCGCACGAGGCATAGTGCCTTTCACTGAATTTTACTTCCAGCTCAGAAGAAAACTGGTGCACGCTAAAACAACTCCTACCACTCCTCTCCTCATCCCCCATTTCACGTTTAAGTCTCGGCGCTCAGTAAGTTCATCGTTGACTGTTCCTTACAAGACTTCAAAAGCCCCGCGCGCGACTCTACTGCGAATAAACCTTTCAAACTGCAAATAGACGTGTCGTTCAGTTACGCGCAATTTCTCATACGCATGTGACAACCAATGAGAAAGCAAGGGATACGGGGAGAAATGTGAAGGTTATTTTGACGCGAGATCTGCCTTAATTTCAGCCCCGTCACTTTGAAAAGGTTCTTTAGTTTTAAACGTAAATATTGTAGTTCTTGCCACAAAAACGAAAGGATCAACACACCATTGACCCTCTTAATGTTCTCACCTTACGCTCGCTGCAGTTTGTTTCTCCCGTGTGCCAACCCCTTCCTCCTCCCCCTCCTCTCCCCCTTCCCCCTGCCCTGCTCCCTCCCTTTTCTCCTCCGCAAACCGGCGCCATTGATTCTGCTTGTCTTCTGCCTTTCGCAGCAGCGGATTGTCGGACAGGAAAAACTGTCCTCTTCGCTAAACTTTTGCGCCGAGTCGTCTGCCATCCACTTATTGCCTTCCAAAGTAAGTTTACAACCAACCTCTCGTTCGCAATCGCCGTGTCAGTCGCCGAAAATCTGCATCCAACGAACTCTTTGATCATTGATTTTTGTGAGCCCTATACCGCAGTGCTTATTTCATTCGCACATCGTGGACATTGGGAGGAGATAGGATGACTGTGACGGTTCAAATTTTTATTGAAATCGTGTCATTATGTCATGCTAATACCTACAATGTGCAAGCTTCTGATATCTTTTTGAAGCATTTTACATTCTAGTTCCATGGCTGAAAATAGAATTCCTCTATCTGATTACTTTGTTATTTTAATGCGTTGCCATCCATTGGCTTGTACGTCATGTTTTCTATACTCCATTTGTTCTTTTCAGGTAGCAACATGGCTGTGAACACAATCCTCTTGGATTTTGCAGTAGATAAGGACACAGTGGCTGATCGTCACAAACGAGAACTTGCACTGATGAATATTGAGTCTGCTCTTAATGAGTTTGTCCGCAACACAACGAAGAAGGACTTCATAGAAATGCCTGGGGGATTCCTGCAAGTATTGACAGCTGATCGAGGAACTTTCATCACTGTTCGAGGATTCGTTCAAGGCCTCATTTCAATTAATGTTGAATACTTCAGAGAAGAAAATGAACCACCCTTGTTTAACTATGAGGTAAGATACCACTAACATATGATAAAGTATTTGATCTCAAATTCTATGGCAATAGACTGACTGCAAAATTTAGTGTCTACATTTGATTATGTTCAGTCCCAAAGCTGTCCTCATTCAAGTTTGCTACTTTCAATCATAGAAAATGTGGCTCTGTATCTCTGGATTTTCCAATGGGATGGTGGCGTTTTAGCATGTGGGCTCTAGTATCTATGAGGAACTTATTGACCATTCCTTTCAGGAGGGTCGCTTGCTGGAGTCCAGTGTGCAATGTGCTCTGAGATCCCATCGCTGTAAGATGTTCCCTCCTATACGTCGAGGTGCTCGTTTTGACGTATACCTTACCTCCTCAGGTAATAATGGGGAGAGGCAGAGAAAGCATGTGGTGTAGAATGGTAGCGCAGCGCTATGCTTTACCTATCATTCTAGGCACTGCATGACACTCTAGTGTCTGCTGTTTTCATGTGAAAACAGAAAGCATTAACAGTCAATATATTAAAATTTTTGTCAGTACCCTATCACTCACCTCACATTAATGCTGACTGGCTCCAAACTTAAATTAAGATTCAAGCTGCAACTGTCATCTCTTAAAGTGGGAAATTGAGCTTTTTTATGAAAGACTGAAAAGAAACAAAGAAAGAGAAAGTTTATGCCTGCTGTGTTATGCACTAACTGCTTGATTAGTTCCCCCAAAAGTATAGTTGCGCCGTTTTATTGCAGTGCTAGTCTCACTGTAACCTCAGATTTGAAGCAACTATGCCTAAAATACAGTGCACTGTAAAGGAGATAAGGTCCCCAGGAGACAATTTGCCTAGATAATGATTTGAACCTTTATCAGTCACATATTCTGCATGGTTTGTATGGAACCATGCTACCTTTGTCCACCTCTTCCTTTAAGCAGAGTATATGAGTGCATTTTGCCCAGCACAAATTTTATTAATAAGTCCATGGGTCTGGCTTTGTGATTGTGTTCATGGTTTTGTGAGGTAGAAAATAGAACTTTAATATACCACAAATAATTTCCATCATCACTGGCACTCCCAACTTCTGCTTTAGCTCTCCAATTTGGAGGTGGCTGTTATTTTTGCTGCTTGATTATTTTCCAGTTGTCTGGTAATCTCCAAGAAGTTTTAAGTGAAAAACTTCAAAGCACAAAAAGTCGCAGGTTGCCTGCCATCAAGAGAGGTACTGTGGATCGTTACTTCGTTACCTCTGGTAAGTAAGAAAAGAGAGAGCAATTCATCCTCGGTAATCATTCACATTTATTAAACTTCTTGAGGTGATGTACAACTATCAAGTGAAACTGTAGGAAGCAGTACTCATCTTGTCTTTTCTTAGCAATCATCCTTAGTGGTAGTTGTTTCTTGAACTCCGCTAACTTTTTTGCTAGGGCATACTTTAGCCATTTTTTGAGTCTGTTGTTTCTTTGCCATTGATATGCCTGCTGTCAAGTATAAAATGGCCAAACTCAAAGCAGGCTCATTAAAGAATCAGATAGCAAGACCAAAACCCCCATGCTTATAAAGCTGGGAGCCTTATTGTCTATTTATTGAAATACACATTCATTCTATAATAGATATTTTTAATAATTATGAGATATACCTTTCAGTTAGTAGTTTGAAGTAAACCTTAGCCAGAGTTGTGTAATTGACAATTCTGACCTTAGCAAGCCTTAATAATTTTCCATACACATTTAAGGCCACGAAAGCAAATCTAATACGGTACCTTTTCTTTGCATTCTTTTTGCAGATGAGAGACTACTGGAGTATGATATTGATGAGGTGTTGTTTGAAGAGAAGTCTCCGTATCAGAAGGTCCAGATAGTACATTCTAAGAGCTTTGGTAATCTCCTTCTATTGGATGATCTGCAGAGTAAGTTTAATTTTGTTTCAAATTATCTCTGAGGATAAAAGAAGATGTCCTGATGCTACAAATGTTTCTTTACTTTCATTTCAGACCTATCTGAGAAAGATCTGGTTTATACTGAAACACTGATGCAGCGAGGAAAGGAAAACTATCGTGACAAAGAAATTGTCATTCTTGGAGGTGGAGATGGTGCCCTCCTCTGGGAACTACTAAAGGAACAGCCAAAGTTTGTGACCATGTTAGAGGTAGATTGTCCTAAATTATTTTGTTGTTTAAGTTTTTCTACTACTACAGTTGTTAGTACAGATAATTACAGAATTTTCTTAATCAACAACTTTTTCAGCTTGACAAGGTGGTCATGGATGCATGCAAAAAGTACATGCGAAGTGCCTGTGGCAACTGCCTTGACAACTACAATGGCGCAAACTATGAAGTAAGTTTAGCTAGTCTAGTGTACTTAAAAAAACAAAACAAACACAAAAATGGTTTACCTGTCACAAGTTTGCTTACTTTTTTCTGTTTATTCCCTTTCCAGATAATTGTTGGTGATTGCGTTAAAGTTTTGGACAACTACATCAAAGAAGGGCGGAAATTCGACTATGTGTTTGGTGATCTGACTGATCTACCTATTTCTCCCACACCGCAGGGTGAAATTTGGGATTTCATTCGCTTGATACTCAAAAATTCTTTGAAGGTTTTGAAGCCTGATGGGAAATACATGACACATGTAAGGAGTTTTATATTTCTAAAATTGAAAATTTAGTCTAAATGTTACTTTTGTTTGCCTTCCATATGAATCATTGTTTCATAAATAATTGTTGGTTTTATTTTTCAGGCCAATGGTGCTTCCAATCCAGACTCCTTAGTCATGTTTGAGCATGAGTTCAAAAAGTTGCAGCCTCCGGTATGTTTCACTCAAGATCGTGCATTTGTTCCATCTTTCATGGAAGATTGGGTCTTCTACCAAGTGAGCTTCCAGAAGTGACACAGTGCTGCACACTCTGTGCTAGTCAGGATACCAAAGACCAAAGTATTTGCATCTCTAGGAGTTCACTTTCCTGACACTCCGTAGTTCCTTTTGGTTTATAGTTTTGTGAATGTAAGTAAGCTGGGGCCAAAACTTGAACCATCTCTTGCTAGTACTGTAGTTCCATCATTATTTTTTGTCATGTTTTGTTTTCTTTCTTTTAAATTTGTTTCTGTTCTTTGATTTTTTTCTTATTATTTGATTTATGTTGTGTAGTAGATAATGTGTATTTGTGATTGATTAGCCTAGTCATGTGCTTCAAAACAACTAGTATTTAGTTAATGCATACACCCGTGTTAACTTGCATAGGTCAATTCTGTATTTCTGCACTATGTGTAATATTGCTAAGTGTTGGTTGAGATTTGGCATGATAGGGTGACATTGAAAAGTGAATATACTAAATCTCAAGCATACTGCAGAAGTATTCTTTGTTTATATTGTTCAGATTTGCATTTAAAATATGTCTGTACCTCTTTCGGTTTCTGTTTTTGTATTTTTATAATACGCATTTGAGTATTGCCTCTGGACTTCCTTGCCTGCTCAAAACACTGCCATTTTGTATCAACCAAAAAAAGTATATTCAGAAATATATCATTTTTTGTGTTTAAATTTTAACATAGTCTGCACTCTGATTTATCCCATGCACTTTTGGTTTTTACTGTGACAAACTGGCAAACAATGTTATTGTAAGCCTCTTTGTAACATAATTTAATATGCTGTCTTGAGAGGTAATACTCATGTGTTTATGTACTCTTTTTTTTGTGCAAGCGATGTGTGTGTCACAAATTTTCCTTGGTCACTGAGCCCATGTCGGCCTTCACACCCAAATAAACTGAATATGTACAAGTATGAGTCTTATTTTTTCACTCCTAACATACCTCTTTGCACACTAATGTTTGAAGGGTATGGATATAATTATTGAGACTATTCTTGTAATTTATTAAATTTGAATTTCTTTTTGACTAGCATTGCTTATCGTACTTAGATTTTTGGGGTGACACCAGCCCCTATTTTTTCATGTACAGTGGTATATATTATTCTTGCTAAACAAGATTTTTAAACAACAAAAACAGTAAATGGAATGGAGAATTTGATCCATTCATTCCACTCTTTCCAACAAAATATCTGCAAGCTGGTAAATGCTATGGTAACTTGAACAGCTTAAATGCATGGTTGATGCAACAAGTCACAAAGCTGTTTGTAAATTATTACAATCATAACAGAGCTGCAGAGGCAGTCAAGGTTCCAGAAACAAGCCAGCCATTGGTCATGACATTTCGGGAGCGACGCGCACACCAAACCTTTAAGCTCAAACATGGAAGCTAGCCTTTGTTGTTAAGGATATAGACGAACTCTGAAAACAATGGAATTTAGCCCAACTAACACGAGGCGTCGAAGCTACACCCTCGCCACGTAGGTCTCCACGTTGTCGTGCGGGGGCTCTGTGTCGAACACCACTCGGCCCTGCTCGTCCACGAAGGACTTGTAGGGCATGGTGTGCACGTGCTGGAAGCCGAGGCGCGCCACGGCCTTGTGCGTGTAGAAGCTGGTGCACACGCACCGCACCATGCTCATCCCCTGCGCGCGCGTGAGCTCCCTGAAGCGGACACAGAAATAGTTAGAGTGCGACAATGAGGGCCCGCCACTCCTTCGTCCAATGTCAGGTGAAGGTTTCTCGTAAACCCGCCGATTCCGCACAGCGATTTTTCGTCACTCGGTCTCTCTCGCACTCACGAGGTGTCCCGCGGGGGCGCGAGAGAGACAGAGCGACGAACGAGGCGTGTCTGGTGCGCACCTGGACTGGTCGATGAGCTGCTTGGCGATGCCCTTGCCGCGGTAGTCGGGGTGCACCGACAGGATCTTGATGTCCACGTAGGCGTCCACGTCCGGGAAGCGGCCGAACACGTCGGCCTGCGCGTCCGCCTCGTCCAGCAGGCGCACGATGTGGCGGAACTTGGTGTTGGCCTGCCCCTCGGGCGGCGGCAGCTCCTCGGGCTCGCAGGGACCCTCTATCCGCCGCTTGATGCCGTTCAGGACGATGCCCACCACCTCGCCTGCGGAGAGAGAGAGAGAGACTTCGCTTAGACGAGGCAAGCAGCGCAAAGCAGCACGGGGATGCGCCAGCCCTTAATGGTAATGGGAGGTAGGCAACCGTGAGACGCGCGCGACGCCGCGGTTTGCCTAAGAGAGGACGACAGCCTCCGCTCCTTCTCAAAGGCCCCGACCTTCCTAAAAGCGCCGCAGTGGCCACCATGTCAATGAAAAAGTGCGACCAACGGACCGGTATTTCGGCCACCACCTGGTGCACGGCGGCGTGGTGCTTCGTGGTCAGCAGGCCGCGTATGGGCCGCGGTGCCGCGTCTGCCGAGACTCGACTCGGTTTTCTTCCAGCTCCAACGACTGGAAGGCACGCGCAGCCCTGTGTCGGGCCGCCGGGCTGTCGAACTCATCGCTTCGGCGTCCGCAGCGCCGCGAGCCGTTTTCGCCCTCCCCGGACAAACTTTCCCGTGCTGCGAACCGCCAAGCAGTAGGCAGCAGCCAGCAGCCACGGCACTGCAGCCCTGGAGCGTGACCCGGGGGGCTGATGCGCCCGGCCCGGGCACTAGCACTTCGCGGAAGTCTTCTTTCTTTCCAACTTGACAGCCGATCGAAAGAATCGAAAGTGGCCGCTTTGCCGAGCCACGCCACTGCCGCCTCATGCCTCACCGTCGGCGTTCTCGGAGACGAGGGAGTTGCCCTCCGCCAGCGACTCGGTGCAGTAGTCCTCCAGCTCGGTGCAGCGGCCTCCGCCCTCCATCAACCGAATCTACGGAGACGGACGACAAATTAGTCCTGACGCGGCGCTACTGCATTTCGCATTTGGCCACCGGCGCGCGTGATTGCTACTTAGGCTGATTCCGAGAGAAGTTTTCCTCGCTCTGCCTCTCTCGCACCTATACGGCACGCCCCATGAGTGCGAGAGAGACTGAGCGAGGGAAACGACTCTCGGAATGAGTGTGCAGTGCGCTCACCGCGATGGTGAGCGGCTCGTCGACGAAGAAGAACCGCCGGGCGAAGTCCACGATGGCGTCGGCGTCGGCCGGGGTGGCGACGCGGTGCGTGAGGGCCGCGGGGTCGGCCATCGTGCGGGAGCCTGGAAAAGGAGAACCACCAGAAGTTGGCCTGAGAAGCGAGAAACGACAAGTTGAATTACGCATCCACTTGACCTTGGCTGCGCCGAGTCGACGGAGGGCGGAGGCCCCCGCGTTACCTTGGCCGTGGAATTGGGTGAGAGATAGGGGGGGGGAAGGGGGGGGGATCAGAGTTTCGGCCCGGCGCCCTTCTAGGCAAACACGGAGGTGTTTGCGGTTGCCCGCCCCGTCGCCGTACTCTCGGTCGGGTTGTGCTGTGGCTGTGGCGACCCAATTTACCGCGAAGAATGATGCCTGTCCCAGCCCGCCAGCCCCGCCCCCAAGGCCCTCCATCCCGCAGTAGTCGCTCCCCAGAGCCGCGGCGCCGCACAAGTGTGTGGCATGGATTTGATTTGGTTTATCGACCGAGCCGAACCACTATCGCCTCTCCGCCAGTGCCACTGCCGGGGCCATTCCGAACGGTGCTTTCGTCGCTCTGCCCCCCTCGCACTCATGGGGCGTCCCGAAGGGGCGCGAGGGAGACAGAGCGACGAATCAAACTGCTGGGTGGCTGGGACCCTAAGTAAGTGGCTTTCCAAGAGGGTCTGGGGGCTGCTGCAGGTAGAGCGCCCTCTCTGCCTGCGTCTCTCTCCCCCTCTCTCGCACTGTGTGCGTTTAATTGCCACTCGCGGTGGTGCCGAGGCCAGCGGCTGCCGCCGCGCTGTCGCAAAGCCGGCCTGGGCCTTGCCGGCCTCCACGGCCTCCAGCACGCATGCCATCCCGGGGAGGCGTTGGGAGGCATGCGGTGCGGCACCGCCCGGCCTTGGACGCGGCGCGGCGGGGCGCGGCGGGGCGCGGCGGGGCGCGGCGGGGCGCGGCGGGGCGCGGCGGGGCGCGGCGGGGTTAGCCGCGTGGCCGACGGCCGCCAGGCCAGGGCGGTACCCGCGACTCTGCGGTCCAAACCCCAGCAGCTGTGCCGAGAAGCGCCGAGCAGCGCGGAGCGTGCAGACTGACTCGCAACAGTCGCCTCTCTCGGATCCCTTCGGACCGCCCCGCCCCTCGAGTGCCACGACACCGGGCCGTAACGTCCGGCTGTAGACCACTGGCGTGACGTAATATGTGAACGACCTTCTTATCAACGCTCCAGGACGAGGGTGGCCGAGGGTGGGGGCGCTGCTCGCCGCCAGGGCGAGGCCGCCCCTCGGTGTGCTGTCCGCAGCACTCTGCCTGGAGTCTGAAGTCTGGAGTCGAGAGATGCGGCTGGGCCGGGCTGGGCCGGGTTAGGCCGGGCTAGGCCGGGTTAGGCCGGGCTAGGCCAACCTAGCCCAACCGGGCTGCGGCCAGCACCCCAGCCAAGGTCGGCCAGCTGTACAGCGAGCCGAACCAGCGCGGTTCTCCACGCCCCTCGCCCCTCGGCCCCACAGCGCGACAGCTTGCGGTGGCGAACACAAACGCACTCGCCCCAAAGCGAGCACCCCAGAACGACGAGCCCGGGAGAGCAAATTCTCTTCCGGCCGCCGCACTGGAGCCGCAAACCGACGTTGTCGGCACACGGAAGGAAGCGCCCAACGCGCGAATGGTCGAGAAAGCCCACAAATAGATGTCGGGGCGCGCGGAAGTCCCTTGGCGGGGCGTTCCTCTTCCTCTGGAGACGAGCCGTGCCGTGCCGCCCCGGGCCGTGGCCGCGCGTAGAGGGGCGCCGCCGCGCCGCCACCTCCCGGGCGCCACCTCCAGTTCGCACCATCACGTCGCCGCCGCCGCCACCGCCGCCGCCGCCAAGAATGTAATAAGGCCGAAGCATCCTGGGGTGGGACGTCGAGGGCCCGGCGGCCCGGCCCCACTATCGGCGGCCCCCTCCCCCTCCCCCGCCCCCTCCCCTCCTCCAGAAATCAACATTTGCGGCCGCCGTCCTCACACCTCACCGCGAGGGGGTAAACACTTCAAGAAATCGTGTACAGACTACTCGGTATTACGCTGTATTACGGGTGTATTACACGTGTATTACGGCCCTAAAATGCCCAAATTTGGCACATTTGACCCAAAAATGGTATTACGATCACGTGTATTACGCGTAATACACGGTTTTTGTGTACAGGGTATTACGCGAGTGGTTACCCCCTCGCCTCACCGTTTCACTGCGCGATGCCGCGCCACGGACGAAAGGCGTCGGAAAAACGATTCACCTTGAGAGAATTCGAAGATCCTACCGTGTCAGTGTGCGACTGCTGCGACCAGCTGTGTGGAATTTTTCCCCGAGTTTTGTCGTGCGGAAGGGGGCTGCAGTGTGCTGGCCTACTGCAAGGCCTTCAAGGCGTCACACAGCGCACTCCCTGCGGGACGGCACTGGAGTGCGAGAGAGACGGCGCGACGAGGAGCACACTGTTGAGCCTGGCGTGCAGCATGGGCGTGCTGACGTCTGCCCATGTGGCACTGCGACAGTGTGGTGGCTCTCCCACGCTCATCAGGCTTTGGCAAGGCCCGGCACGAACGGCTGAAGACGGGCAGGGCCTGCACTGTGAGTTACTAATTACCGAGTGAGCTTTCGCGGAGCAGGACTCACTCGGCGTTTTTGAGCGGTCCGGACTCTCTCGCGCCTCAAAGACTCCATTCAGCGGCGGCGCACCCGCTGGAAGATTGGCCAGGTTGGCACTCCAACTCCTTTTCACACAATTTTCTAGTGAACCAGCTGCGACTCTTCTCTCCGTTTAGAACGCGCTCTAGAGCCAATGGACCCGCCGGTTCTTTTTCCCAAATACGCCGCGACGTTATCCTAACGGCGTGGGGAGGCACAGTGGGCCAGAAGCCGGTGGAGGCGGCCAAAACTCTAGACGCATTTTGAGCTCCAGAGTCGCTAAATGGGACTCGAACCGAACGTGTGACCCCACCAATGGATTCCTCGTTCGGAGAGCAATCCATTGGTGGGTTCACACGTTCGGTTCGAGTCCCATTTAGCGACTCTGGGGCTCAAAACGCGTCTAGAGTTTTGGCCGCCTCCACCGGTCTTCTGGCCCACTGTGGGAGGGAGTCAAGGCAAGCCTCGGCCTCGGCTGTAGCACGCGCTGCTCTCTGCTCTCCAAGTTTGACGCCGCGTTTTCCATCACTGGAGGACAGCGAGCCGAAGCGCTCCGGCGCCGAACTCCTGCAGATCCCTTCCTTTTCGTCTCTCTCTGTCTCTCTCTCTCTCTCTCTCTCTCTCTCTCTCTCTCTCGCACCGAGTGGAACGCCCCACTGAGTGCGAGAGAGACAGCGACCAAACAGAGTGAGGAGTTGCTTCGCCGGGCCTCGCCTTGTCAGGGGAGCTAGTCGTGGTGTTCCTGAACGGCATGGAGCGGGGTTCGTACGGCAATGAGGACACAGTGTTTAAGGGTTGGATAACCTCCCACTCACCAAGCTAGGTCCGAAAGGTGCTGCCGCTCCGAGGCTCAGCCTACGACTGACGACTCGCGGCCAAGCCGGACGCCGCGAGCGCGTCTGCAAGATCAGCATTTCCTCTTTTCCTATGTTGCCTTGTGTCTATCCCTGACATGCCCCCCTTTTGGAAAATAAGCGTCCTCGCTTATTAAGGCACTTTACTTAACCTTAGATTAGAGCCTAGTCGAACTATAACTAACGGTGTAAAAATATGTTACCTAACTTAACTTCCCTAAAAAAAAAAAATACGCTAGTATATATAGGAAAAGGCGAAATGCTTATCAAAATTAAACAAAAAAAAATTAAAAAGAAAACAAAAATAATTTAGATCATTTATAGCTTGGCAAGCAAGAAGTATTGTTTACTTCAAAGTTCTGTAAAATTTTCTTTTCATTTCATGTCAACCCAACAGGCCTAAATATTTCTAAAGTTCCAAAATCAATCATGTTGCCGCGAAAGTTCAATAAAAATCGAAATAATAGATCAAAAGTTATGAATCAAAACAAGATATTTTAGATGTTCTGGGCTGTTTCGATGTTGTTGATCTCGAAGCCGGTCACGTCCTCAACCGCAGGTAGATGTTGTTCCCGCGATGGAGTGCGTCTTCCGTGACGCTGTGCACTCATGATGGCTGCAGGAAGATGTTTTTCCCACGTTGGAGTGCGTCTTCCGGGACGCTGTGCACTCATGATGGCTGCAGGAAGATGTTTTTCCCACGTTGGAGTGCGTCTTCCGGGACGCTGTGCACTCATGATGGCAGTGATGGCTTCTCGCACTTTGGCACTCCCTACTCAATTCAGGAGTGCCGCCATGCTTTCTGCGTCCTCGGAAAAGCACGTCGGCTGATGGAAGTTGACGTTCGCTTTGCACTCTCTGTGCACTCGACCATCGATCGTTCAGGTCGGCAGACTCGACGCGATGGGAAAATCGAGATGACTGGATCGCAGCGTGCCTGATGGTGTGAGGCAGGCACTGCTGACGGACTGGGCGGGCGAGCGCTTGCCCATGCTGCTTGACAGCGACAGCCAGCTGACGAACTCACGTGTGTCGAGCAAGGAGTATCGCCGGAGGCTGGGGTATCGCCGTGCCGTCTTGTTGTTGCTGCGGCAGCCGTGGCAGCGGAGGTGGCAGTGCCCCGTCCAGGCGATTGCTGACGCAGCGGTGTCCAGTGTCGAGGCGGCGGCGAGACTCGCGGCGCGGCGTGGCGCGGCGGGGCGCATGATGTCGGGCGTCCACAGCGCTGGCCACGTGGAACGAGGCGCCGAACACGCGGTCTCACAACACAAATTTCAAGCCACAAAACACAAGTCCGAAAACTGTTTCCGTGAGACGAAGACATTTGCCCTCGCGGACAACACCCACAGAGCCAGCAAGGCTTGTGGGAGGGTCTCCTCCCCCCAGAACACGAGTCCTCCCGCACTCTGCCATGCTCCTCCGGAAAGCCGTTCAGTCACTCTGCGCGTCTTTTGCCTAAACAACCATTGAAACCATCCTTCGGCCCAACAAAATCGACCGCAAAACTTAGCTAACTATCTAGACTAAATCTGAGAAATCGAGTTTGTGGCACTTCGAGGGCACTTTCGCTCCTCAGACAGCTACTAAACGGTCGCTGACCGCAAACCCCAAAATGGGGAACCGGAAGCGAATTTCTACGGGATGATGCATGAAATCTCGACAAGCACTATCACTGTCAAGTCTACACCCCCACCGCAGCAGAAACACATTCCTAGACCACGCACAACACTCCTAAGTACGGGCTCACATCCAAAATTATTCAAATTTTGGCACCAGCACCTCCACCATGTCAGGGGAGCTAGTCGTGGTGTTCCTGAACGGCATGGAGCGGGGTTCGTACGGCAATGAGGACACAGTGTTTAAGGGTTGGATAACCTCCCACTCACCAAGCTAGGTCCGAAAGGTGCTGCCGCTCCGAGGCTCAGCCTACGACTGACGACTCGCGGCCAAGCCGGACGCCGCGAGCGCGTCTGCAAGATCAGCATTTCCTCTTTTCCTATGTTGCCTTGTGTCTATCCCTGACACGCCTCCTCATCAAACAATTGGCTTAATCACTGGGACAGCACCAGTCCCCCACCCCCAACGCTTTTTCCTCGTCCCTCCTGCTTTCCGGGACGCTTTGGCTGCGCGAGAGTGCGTGATTCAGTTTGCGCGCGGTTCCTCGGCTCTCACCTCACCTCGAAGCGCACGGCTTACGTTACAAACCGTGTCTGGATGAGCGACGAGGGAAGGGGGGGAGGGGGGATTAGGACAGAACGGTCGGGGGCGTGGAGTGGATTGCTGATTGGGGGATGCAGCCGAGTTGGAGAGTTCGCGTCGCTCTGGGAACTGAGTGCTTTCGTGTGTCGCTAGGCCTGCCTCAGTTGCTTTGGTGCCCAGAGAGAGGGCGAGTGAGAGAGACACACAGAGAGACAGAGAGGAAGAATGGAGACCCCTCTCTCTCTCTCTCTCTCTCTCTCTCTCTCTCTCTCTCTCTCTCTCTCTCTCTCTCTTTCTCTCTCTCTTTCTCTCTCTCTCTCTCTTTCTCTCTCTCTTTCTCTCTCTCTTTCTCTCTCTCTCTCTCTCTCTCTCTCTCTCTCTCTCTCTCTCTCTCTCTCTCTCTCTCTCTCTCTCTCTCTCACGGACGTTGTCATGACGCTTGCTCCTTTTGTCCGGGTCTCTTGCTGACGCTTACAAAATGGTCCGCCTGTAGTATAACGGGACGATTTTCGAGCGGTTTAGGGCGCTTTGTTTGTTAAATGGAGCGGGTTGCAGCCGTTTATGCAAGAGGCAACACTGTCAAAAAGTTGATCATATCGTTCAAAAATGTAAAAAAATAGTTATAAATTTTCGGCTTTACTTTGAATTTTGAAATAACCATTTACTATTCACGGCGGGCAATCGAAACGAGAAGCGGGTGGTCGAAGCGACCTCGACTGGACGTAGAACGGACGCCATTTATTCCGACCACCATTCACTCTCAGCAGGCGGCCCGGCCAGAAATAGTTTGGCCAAAAAGTCTCGTCTCGTCACACTCATTCGACATGTCGTCGAATGTCTGACTGGCAGCATCGGTGACGCGTGCTCCAAACTCTGAGGCGTCGCCCCTCGTTGACGGCCGCTCTGTCGCTCCACCGCACGCAACATTGACCCAGTGAAGCGAGTGGAACGGGGGACGGCCAACGAGGAGGCTGCTCTGTTCAAACACCGCCGCGGCGCGCCGCCAGCGAGTGCCCCGGTGGAAGTCCCCAGTCCCGACGCGACGCGTCCCGACGCACGTGACACGTGACATCACCGCGCCTTTCCAGCGAGGCGTTTCCGAAAAAACCCTGTCGCTCTGTCTCTCTCGCACTCGAGCGGCGGCCCGCAAGGGTGCGAGAGAGACAGAGCGACGAGTGGCACGCAGCGCCGCGACGGCCGCACTTATGCCTAATCGCGCACGCGCCTCGCGGAGGACTGAAGAAGAGCGGTGCGTGTGCATGCCATTAGCAGTGCGGTGTTTAAGGAGGCCCCCCGCACTGGGTCCCTCGGGGGGCCGGCACTAAATCAGGGCGGCGGGCGCGCCTCTGCCAGGTCAGGTCGATCCACATAGTGAATGCATGCGCGTGGCTGGTTAGGTTACGCTCGCTTATCGACGTCGCGACGGAGCAGGCCAGACCTCTGTGCGATGCGGCTTGCACTGTAAGGACTCCAAGAAGGGGGACGACTTCACTTAATCGGTTGCGTGAGCTCGGCGTCAACGCGTCCCGCCAACTCGAGGCAGGACGAGCGGAGATGGCATACGATCTAGCCCTTAGTGGTAATGGTAATGGAGCGCCTGGCGGGTAGGCACGGCGCGCGCAGCCGTGTGCCGAGTCCTGGCGCGGCCTACCTCGCAGGCGCTCGCCGGGGCGGAGTGCGCCGCCACACAGTGGGCCAGAAGCCGGTGGAGGCGGCCAAAACTCTGGACGCGTTTTGAGCTCCAGAGTCGCTAAATGGGACTCGAACCGAACGTGTGACCCCACCAATGGATTGCTCTCCGAACGAGGAATCCATTGGTGGGGTCACACGTTCGGTTCGAGTCCCATTTAGCGACTCTGGAGCTCAAAACGCGTCTGGAGTTTTGGCCGCCTCCACCGGCTTCTGGCCCACTGTGCGCCATGCCGGCCGCGGCGACGACGGCGACGCGGTGCCGGCGGCGGGTGCGCGATGCGCGGGGCGCGACCGCGGACGGCGTTAAATCCCGGCTCCACGACGGTGTTCCGCGGAAGCGCAGCCAAAACGGGCGGGCCCGAAATAGAAGCGGCCGCGAAGCGAGCAAGCGCAGCGTGCACCCAAAGTGTTTTCGAGCGCGGCGGCGATGATGGCCGCGTGGTTGGAGGGGGCGGACGCCGACCGGGGAACGCACGTACGCACATGGGCCGGGGGCCACCGTGGAGGCCGTGGCGGCCGTGGCCTGCGGCACGGTCTAGGGCACGGCGGGCACGGGCGACTCACCTTCACGCTCGGGGGCTGGACACTGGCACTGGCGGTGCGGTGCGGGTGCTCGCCGTGCCCGCGCGGCGGGAGGACGTCGCCGTCGAAGGAGGATGCCGGGTTGGCGCGCAGTGGCGGTGCCGAGCGTCGACGGGCGCCGCGAAGAAGCGCCGCGCCGGCAAGACCGGGCAAGACCGAGAAACCCGAAGCCAGGCAGGCAGCGCAGGCAGCGCAGGCAGGCGGCCAGGCAGCCGACCGCGCACCGAGTTGAGGCGAGTCGAGTTTGCCGCGCGGCCCCACCAGCCTCGCCTGCCAGGCGGCCAGGGCGGCCAGGGCGGGCGCACCAGGCTGCCGGCGGGCCCCGGCGGGGGTGGCGCGGCGCGGCAGGGCGCGAGGCCTGCGCAGCACGCAGCCAAGGCCTGGAGGCCTGATGATGCCCCCGGGGGTGTGGCGGGGGCGGGCGCCGCGCCGCTCCACGCCAATGCACGGCGTAAACACAAGCTGTAGCGTTTGTCCAGAAGGGCGGGCGGAGGGGTGGCGGCGCTGCCTCGGTTCAGTGCGCACGCAGCAGGGGCCTTTTGGGCCGGCTGTAAACGGGGACGCGATGCACTGGAAAACGGCCTCGCCGGTTCGCTACACTTTTTGTCGGGGCTGTAAAAGCGTTGCCTGGATGCTTCGAGGGTGTCCGTCGAGTCGAGGCCGTCGCAGCGCCCCTCCTGGCTCCATGCCGCTCCAGGCCGCTCCAGGCCGCTCCATGCCGCTCCAGGCCGCTCCAGGCCGCTCCAGGCCGCTCCAGGCCCTCTCCGCGTGGCGCGCCGCCATTCCACGCGTACTTTCCAGATGGAATTCCTGGAACGCGCGCCGTATGGCTGGTGACCGTCTAGTAATGAGAAATGGCGCTCGGAAGGATCGGATCGGAACGGGCTGCTGGCGGAAGCTGGTGGAGGAGAAGAAGAGTGGTAAGAAGAAGAAGAAGGTTAAGAATATTAATATAAATAAAAAGAAGACGTGGAAGAGGGTGGACAGGAAAGATGCCATGGATGTCCCTACCGTTTATGCCCGCGGGTCCGCGGCAGCCCGCGGTCAATACCCAACCACTTCGCCATGTGTTTTTATTTTCTCTCCTTTCAGAAAAATGACTTTGGGCGACTTGGTTCGTTATCGCCTCAGCCGTCCCCACTGAAGGATGTATGGCCGGGCGCCCCGACCGCCCCGTCTCGCCCATTCATCCTGCTCAATGGCCAGCTCGCCGGGTGATTCCTCCCCCACCCCCTCTTATTGAACCCCCTTATTGCGTCGTCCGTGCTGCTTAGCAAAACTGAGGCCAGGCAGCCAGGCAGCCGCGACCACGGCGTCTGGGGGGAAGTTGAGACCAATCGACCGATCCAAAGGCTGCGCGTGCCACGGCATGCAACCTACCACCGGCTGCATGCTTACGACAAGTAAAGGAGGGCTTCGGAAGGTTTCCTCACGGTACAACTCCGTCCAAATTAACGGACGCTTTCAGTACGTCATGAGATGGGCCACAATCTCTTAAACCCACGCACTCCTGTTGTTCCGAAAGGCAACGTCCAAACAAGCCCTTAAGACTCAAAGATAACTTAATTTTTTTGTGGTTCTAGCCCATCACGGAAGGCTGCACGAAGTCGAAGCATGAGGACGAGATGGACGGGAGGACGCGCAGTCTGTTGAGTCCCTGGCGGCGGGGGGTATCGTCGACGCACGGGGACGAGATGGACGGGAGGACGCGCAGTCCGTTGAGTCCCTGGCGGCGGGGGGTATCGTCGACGCACGGGGACGAGATGGACGGGAGGACGCGCAGTCTGTTGAGTCCCTGGCGGCGGGGGGTATCGTCGACGCACGGGGACGAGATGGACGGGAGGACGCGCAGTCCGTTGAGTCCCTGGCGGCGGGGGGTATCGTCGACGCACGGGGACGAGATGGACGGGAGGACGCGCAGTCTGTTGAGTCCCTGGCGGCGGGGGGTATCGTCGACGCACGGGGACGAGATGGACGGGAGGACGCGCAGTCTGTTGAGTCCCTGGCGGCGGGGGGTATCGTCGACGCACGGGGTACAGCCAGAGGCCAGAGGAGTGGGCGTGGGGCTCCTGCGTGCGTGGTGCCCAGTGATACGCCGCCGGGTATAGAGAACATTGCGGCGAGGGGTATCGCCCGTCGCTCCATGGATACCCCTGCGTGACATGGCCCCTGCTGCAACACTTAAGTGCCAATCTCTGTACACTGCGAAAAGAAAAACAATCGTGTTTAGATTTTTGAACGCCATCGAAGTAATCCGAGGGAAAGGGTCACGAAATTGGTTCGCAACCCGGAAATTGAGAGATTTAACTAACGTTCCGCCGGGATTGAACTTGGTAGCGCTTGACCCGGCTTGACCCGGGGCAGTCGGGTAACGGTAGTCGCCCGGCTCCGTGGCCGAAGGTCGCCGACGGCGTCCCCTCCACGCGGTGCAGCGGTGCACGAGGTCGGCCCGGCGGTGTCGCGTGGGGCGGCGCGCGGCGCCCCGGTGCCCACCCTCCCTGCCACCGACTATAAAAGGTAGCACGGCCGCCGGGAAAATCACACTCAGCCCGACCACCGAGCAACCAACAGCACCATGCACGCCTCCGTAAGTACCGCGACGATGCACCAGCAGCGGCGGCAGCCCGATGGAACCTAACCGCCTGCCTTCCCGACAGGTGATCGCCCTCCTCGCCCTGGTGGCCGTGGCCGCCGCGCAGCCCCAGTTCGCCGCCGCGCCCGTCCCCATCATCAACCACGAGCTGGTCCGCGACGACTTCAACCAGTACGCCCTGCGCTACCAGACCGGCGACGGTGCCTCCTTCGCCGACCACGGCAAGCTGGTGCCCGGCCCCGAGGGCCACGTCCTCGTCAGGTCCGGCTCCCACGCCTACCGCGCCCCCGACGGCAGGGTCATCACCCTGTCCTACACCGCCGACGAGAACGGATACCACCCCACCGGTGACCACCTGCCCGTCAGTGTGCCCGCCCAGTTCTAAGCCACCGCCACCGTCATCACCCTTCGCCCCGGAATAACTAGTCATGGCGCCCAGCGCCCGATCGTACCTGCCGCCATTATGTAAATCGACTGAAATAAAAATCAGTTAAACAAAGTGCTATTTTTACCTCTTTTCATTCCATGCATGCTTCACTGCATAAATCGGCTTCTTTGAATACGTCAGAAAAGCACAATTTCACTGGACTGCGACGCAGTACACGCAGAATCAGAAGGGTCAGTTTCGGTCGAAAGCACGAAAACAATTCTAATGTTTGGTGACAAGACTTACCAATGTTGGGTGTGGGAATGTTTAAAAAATATAGAGCATACTTCCGTATCCCCTGTAAAGATTTAACTGTCACAGAACCGAAAAAAAAGTTCCAAAGACTACTTGAACATGACTTCTTCAAAGAGACCAGAAGCAGCATCCAATTCCAACTAAAAAGAAAACCATTTGAAAATTATTACCAATTTTTATCGAGAGGCTGATTATTGGTCATTGTCATCATGCATTCGTTTTTTAAACTTTTTTGGTGCCGGACGTGCAGTGACAATGAAAATGCTTGCTCTAAATTTAGTTCGGCATTACGGTCCGACTCGTAACCAAGACCGTGTGAAACAAGAAAGCTCACTCCAGGTAATCGGTTCAATCTGGGTGGCATTTCCACGAATACTTCTGCTGGCAGTGCTGCACTTTGAAGAGACTGCTCGACCATTTCAACCACAGAGCCAGCGACGGCCAGCGAACGTTCGCGTCGGGGAACACAGAGGGTGAGGGTTCGTCTCGAAGAAACATGAATTCTGAATAAGGCTTTTCGGTTTTCATTTATTATGGCTACTATGTACAAGATGGGGGCGGGGTGGGGTGAGGTCTGCGGGGTGCGGGCGGGGCGCTTCACGCGGAGTCCACGGGTATGGCCTCGCTGATGGGGTGGAAGCCGGTCTCGTCGGCGGTGTACGTCACCATGATGATGCGGCCCTCGGGGCTGGTGTACCGGTACGAGCCGGACCGCGTGGGCACGTAGTGGCCCCGGTACTCGCCGTCCTGGACCTCCTTCAGGGCCACGTGCTCGGCCACGGCGGTGCCGTCCGCGCTCAGGTAGGACAGGGCGAGCTGGTTGAAGTCGTCCCGGGTCTCGGTGCGCTTCAGGATGGGCACGTAGCTGGGGGCGGCCTGCTGCTGCAGGGGCTGCTGCTCGAAGCCGAACTGGGGGCGGGCGGCCGCGACGGCGGCCAGGGCCAGGAGGACGATCACCTGCAACAAGACGGACGGGGGTCAGTCATTTTTGCGCTCACTCGAAAGACAACTTCGGCCGACGAAATTCGCATCGTTTCTCGATGCGAGCGAAACGCCCCCAACTACACTCTAAATGTAGGGTGTCCAGAAACTGGGCGCCTTTGTCGCCCGCCCCACTTTTTAGGGTGCCCAATGTCGCCCAGTTTCTGGGCACCTTTGTCGTCCAGTCTCGGGGTGGGCAAATCATACAGTAACCGGCCCTCTCCCATGGTAGTGCATGCTTAGGTGTCTAGTTCCTGGGCGACTAAGGTGCCCAGATTCTGGGCACCTTTGGCACCTTAGTCGCTGCTGACCCATGGGTGAAGGCAGGTTCCTTTGTGGATTGTCCACCCCGAGACTGGGCGACAAAGGTGCCCAGAAACTGGGCGACATTGGGCACCCTAAAAAGTGGGGCGGGCGACAAAGGCGCCCAGTTTCTGGACACCCTACATTTAGAGTGTAGGAGAGGACTCGACCGAATCTGTCCGCGGGGAGCTCGGAGGAGTTAATACCAGCCCTGCTGCGGGGAGGGATGATCGAAACTAGAACTAGGGCACTCGGGCGAAGCCCAGAGCCCGAAGCCACAGGTGGTACTCACGGAGCCGTTCATGTCGGGGAGCGGGTTGAGAATCGGTTCGATTGATTAAAGACGGTGGAGGCGAGTGGCTTGCTCTGCCGCGGGCGACGTATATATACCGCGACACACCTCACCACCGGGATGGGAGGGGCGGTGAAGGGGTCGCGGTTCGCGCCACCGCCAAGGCGGGGCGGGGTGGGGCGGGTGAATGAACGCCCACACCCTTCACCGCCTCGGCCCTCGGGGTGCACGGACTCCTGGGTGCCGCCGAACGCCGTGCTTTACTGCTACCCCGGCAATCCCATGGCCATAAACGCAAGGCGCACGTTGAGGCTGGCTGTGAGCCGGGCCGTCCCACAGTGGGCCAGAAGCCGGTGGAGACGGCCAAAACTCTAGACGCGTTTTGAGCTCCAGAGTCGCTAAATGGGATTCGAACCGAACGTGTGACCCCACCAATGGATTCCTCGTTCGGAGAGCATTCCATTGGTGGGGTCACACGTTCGTTTCGAGGCCTGTTTAGCGACTCTGGAGCTCAAAACGCGTCTAGAGTTTTGGCCGCCTCCACCGGTCTTCTGGCCCACTGTGCGTCCCCGGCCGGCCCGGCGTGGACCGCGTCGCCGTAACAGCGGATTCATTTCGCACCGGGGCCTCAATTTGGGGGCCCCTCCGCCTCGCCGACTATCCTTCCCCATCCAGGAGCGGCTGTTGAGTCCGGCTTGCGCGGGAAAGTCTCGGAGGCGTTGTAAACGGAATCATGTTAGGCGACAAGGGCTGGCCGAATAGGCAAAGGAAAGCTAGCACACGCCACATCGGCTAGCCCTGGCCAGGTTTCCCGATCACGCAGGCGATACTCTGTAAACCGCAGAGCCGCGACGACCGCAGAGGTATCTTCTTCTCCGCTTCTCTCGGAGCAGCGCGATCGCCGGCACTGTGAACTTCGCTTCCCCACACATCCCTATGGAGAATAGCTAGATAGCTAGAAGCGGGGTGAAAGGAGTCGGCCATTAATAAGCGCGACTGCCGGGACGAGACCCAGTCTTCCAGCGCCCCCTCCCATTTCCCTGTTCGTATTTGTGTTTGCCCTTCGCCCCTCCATGTGATGCGACTCAACTCGATCGCTCCACCCGGTCGAGGGGAAGTTAGCTTTGCCGTGTTTGATATGCCAGAATGGAGCACGGGATCAAGCAGACGAGAGGACAATGATGTTTGAAACTGTACCACCGCTCCAGGCTATGATGAAACGATTTGGTTCTTCCCGTTTCCCACCACTTTCACTTGGTTTAATCAGCGAAGCTCATTGAACTTCTTCATTTCAAAGCAATGCCTATCGCATCGAAAAGGTTGATTTTGACTTCAAAAATGAAAAGCAAAAAATTAAATGCTATTTTTACTGTGTAGATGCTTGCCGGGAGGTCAAACTCAGCCGGCCGCAAAGAGAGGCTTCGACCAGCTGCTGGGGAACCATACTACCCACGTGTGCGAAGCCATAACGGGAACAGCATTCACCTGGTGGCAAAATAGAACACTCTAAAAGAAAGCCAAAACTTAGTTAAATTTCATCAATCCAGTGTCAAATGGGTCAAAGACAGCCTCCAACCCAACAGCAGATGTTTCCAGAGATTCGAAATAAAAGAAAACGAAAATGATTTCGGTGTTGTGCCGTGTCTTATCCAGTACAGCATTTGGCATTTGAAGGCGGGGTTGCGGTGTGGCCCAGCTCTGGCCCAGTTTAGCGGTAGGGCAGGTGCAGTAGGCAGGCAGGGTTGGTGCTCGCGGTGGTGCAGGCCCCTGCACCCCGCCCCACCCCATGCACCACCTGCTGGCCAGCATCCCGGTATAAAAGGGAGCGCGGCCGCTGGCAAATCATAGTCAGCCGGACCACCGAGCACCAGCCAGCCACCAAATCAAGCAGCCAGCACCATGCACGCATCCGTGAGTACGGCGACGACGCGCCTTCAAGCGCTTGCTCCTCGAGCCCGAGAGTGACCCCGCCTCCCCTCCAGGTGATCGCCGTCCTCGCCCTGGTGGCCGTGGCCGCCGCGCAGCCCCAGTTCTTCGCCGCGCCCGCCGTGCCCATCCTGAACCACGAGCTGCTTCGCGACGGCTCCAACCAGTACGCGCTGCGCTACCAGACCGGCGACGGCGCCTCCTTCGCCGACAGCGGCAGGCTGGTGCCCGGCCCCGAGGGCCCCGTCCTGGTCAGGTCCGGCTCCCACGCCTACCGCGCCCCCGACGGCAGGATCATCACCCTGTCCTACACCGCCGACGAGAACGGATACCACCCCACTGGCGCTCACCTGCCCGTCAACGTGCAGCCCCAGTTCTAAGCCATGACCATCCTCGCCAACACCATCGTCATCCCCGGATCTAGTCATGGCACCCCATCACCCGATCGTACATGCTGCCACCTTCGCAGAAAATAAAAATTTACAAAATTGAAAAATTAAAATAGGTTTGATTCTATTTTAACCCTTTACACCATTGACATGATCTAACCAACAAAAATTACACACTCATGTGGCGTGTCGACAAATTTCTCCACAGGTCTGCTCCACTCTCCCCCATTCCGTTCAGGTGCCCTTGAAGCAGACTGCTTCCGCACAGTCTTTACGTCACTCTGTCTCTGTCCCTCTACTGGGGCGCTCTATGGCAGTGCGACAGAGACAGAGCGACGAAATGGAGTTCTTTCGGAACCGCTCGGCACCCTTTGTCACGCCAGTAGTTGAATGAGTTGCTTAACGGCCGGGAGCACGGCGCGACTCGACGACATGACACGACACTGTAAAATCAACTCGCCGCGCCCGCCTCAAATTGGCCGAATTGCAGGGATCTGCATTTTAATCTTGCACCGTTTCGGTGTGCCGTGGAGCAGGAAATGCGCCGCCGAGTCCAGGAGTCGTTTTTCCGTTATTCCGTTATTCCGGGCCGAGGGAATTCCAATTAAAGTGCGCGCCATGCCGCGGACCTGGGCGACCTGCTCCGGGAGGCTTTCCGCCGGGCGTGCCGTCCGTGCCGTCCGCCTGCGCCGCCGGCCTCGCTCAAGTGACGCCGGAGAGGAACAAGGGAAGGCCTTACCGCTCGGCTCAAGGTCGGTTCAAGGTCGGTTCAAGGCCGCCGCAGTCGGCGCCGCCCGGACCGAACGGCACGCTTTGCGCGACTTTGCCCGTTTTCAAACAGACCTCTGCCGAGAACGGCTTCACTTTTTTGCTGTTCTTATCCATCCAGCCTATTAGCGGCGCGGCTGGAACGGGCCACTGGAACCATGCGGTCCGGCGCCCGAGGCAGGGCGTGCACTGCTGCCCTGTGGCGTGGCGGGGCGTGGCGGGGCGTGGCGGGGCGTGGCGGGGCGGGGTGGGCAAGTACCGGCGGTGTGGATGTGGGGGGCTGCACCGGGTACAAAAAGGCGGGGGTGGGTTCGGACCAGCACACTTGCCATCCAGCAGCAAGAGCAGCAGCAAGAGCAGCAGCAGCAACATGCAGACCACCGTAAGTGTTTTCCGACCTTACTCGTCCCGGCGGTGTGGAGTTGGTTCTGGAGCAGTCGGAGCGGACCCGGCTCGGCCGCTGCATTGTTGGGATGGCTGGCCGGGCTGGCCTTGCCCGGCACACCCCGGCATTCGCAGCAGGCAGTCAAGGGCGCCGCGGTGGTGGCGGGCGAGACAGGCCGAGGCCGGGCCGGGCCGCGCTGGCTTTTGTGCGCGCCCTGCTCTGCGAAATTATACCCGGCCAACGGGAAGCGGGCTGAGCGGGGCCGAGGGACGTGGACGTTCAGGAAGGGGATGCTCTGCACCACCTTCAGCAACGTGGTGCGAGACTGGTGACTTTGGGTGTGTGTTAACCGCCTGCCTTCCCGACAGGTGATCGCCCTCCTCGCCCTGGTGGCCGTGGCCGCCGCCCAGCAGCAGTTCGCCGCCGCGCCCATCCCCATCATCAACCACGAGCTGGTCCGCGACGACTTCAACCAGTACGCCCTGCGCTACCAGACCGGCGACGGTGCCTCCTTCGCCGACCACGGCAAGCTGGTGCCCGGCCCCGAGGGCCACGTCCTGGTCAGGTCCGGCTCGCACGAGTACCGCGCCCCCGACGGCAGGATCATCAAGCTGACCTACACCGCCGACGAGAACGGATACCACCCCGTCGGCGACCACCTGCCCGTCAGCGTGCCCGCCCAGTTCTAAGCCACCGCCACCGCCCCCATCACCAGTGACTGACGCGCGAAGTCGTTTTCCCTGCAAAAGACATCTTCTATCGGAGCAAGTGAGGTTCGATTAGAATTTTGAAGGGGTACAATTTGATTTGAGTCAGGGTAAATTTTTGAGATCTTTTCTCTCCTGAATCTAATCCAATCTCCTCCTTCAAATTTGAATCGAATAGTTGACTCTCAGGTCAATGAGTGCCCATTGCCGGTAGAAGATGTCCTTTGCAGTGAAAGTTTTACGGTACTTGTAATATAGACTATGACTCACTCTAATCGCCATGTTTTCAATTTTAATTCGGGATGAAATCCAGTTTGAAGCGTGCACCAAAACTAACGTTAACTTTGGTTTTGCTCGCGATTCGAATTTGTTTTCATACAGCTCTCTGCCATCATCAAGGAAAAAAAATACAATAAAAGACTAAAATTGTAAATAATTTGTGTGTTCAGACATTCTCTCAAGTCAAACATGCCCCATTGCTTCGTGAAGCATTCTCTCTTTTGCAAACAATGATGTCGGACCACGCACCAACGCTGGGTTCTATTTCAAAATGAATTATTGAAAAAAAAGAAAGAAAAAGCGGCAAACAGAGCGAGGTTCTCATACAATACCAACACCGACGCACTCGGTCCTCCTGAAAAAAGGAGAGCAAATACCACAATTCGTTCCCAGTTTCCGCTCCAGGCGCCAAATCGGTACCGCCCTCACTGTACTGCGTAGAAACTCGCCAATACAAATAAAACAGTGGAGTAAGTGACAGCGACAAGAAAAGCAAATCCATGTCAACAAAGAGCTACACTGCGAGTCGCGGCGTTGTCCCGGTTGCCTGATGCGTAGGCAACCCATCAAGCTCCCCTCGGAGGCACTGCGCCCGCGGCGTAGGCAACCCATCGTGCGCCAGTTGGGTTGCCTACTCGCCTGCGACGCGGGGCGGCGCGGTGCCGTCACGCCATGCGCAGGGCGGAGAGGCAGCTCGACGTAGGACGGGGCGGGTGACGGAGGAGAAAAACCTCGGAATAACGATGCGGTACTGTACACTTTACTCAACAGAAACAAAACGGCGTTGGATTTTTCACACGTCAGCGACGGCGACCGGCACGGGGCCGACGGGGAGGTGGGCGCCAGTGGGGCGGAATCCGTTCTCGTCGGCGGTGTACTCGATGCGGTACGTGCGGCCGTCCGGGGCGGGGTAGCTGTAGGAGCCGCGCTTCACCAGGACCACGTCGCCCTTGTACTCGCCGTCGAGGTTCCGCTTGAGGGCGCCCTGCTCCTCCACGATGATGCCGTTGCCGGTCTCGAAGCCCAGCGCGTACTGGCCGGCCTCGTCGTGCACCTCGTTGCGCCGGAGGACGGGGATGATGGGGGCGGCGGCGGGGGCGGCGGGGGCGAGGGCGACGGCGGGGGCGACTTCGACGGCGGGGGCGGCCTCCACGGCGGGGGCCACTTCGAGGGCGCGGCCGACGGCGAAGGCAGGTGCTGGGACGACGGGTGGTGCCAGGGCCACGGTGGGGGCGGCGGCGACGGCTGCGACGATGGGGGCGGAGTTGATGGAAACCCTGGTGAAGTGCTGCGGCATGGCCGACGCAGAGGCGCAGAGCGCCAGGGCGAACACGGTCTGCAACAACAACGGGGACATTCAGTCTCAAGCCGGAAAGCTCGCAGGCCAGGACCCGATGACCAAGTTCGTGGCCACCTGGCCCACTGTAACGGGGGGTGGAGCTCGGGGCACTGCACCGCCCCACGCGTCGATTAAGCAGCATTAGGTGCACGGCCGCTCAAATTCCGAGCGCCCAATAACCGTTCAGGGCCCAGCCCGGCGGCTTGGCGGGTGGCCTGCCCCGCGCCCCGGGCGCGCCACTGGTAGCCGGGTGGGCTTATCGGCGTCCGGGACCGGGCCACGGGGCGACCGGGCCGCCGGGGTTTACGCGGGGACCAGCCAGCAGGGTAATGCTGTCCGGGGGCTGCACGCTGATCGCAGATTGCGAGAGGCACGTCCGCGTCGTACTGCCCGTGGAGCCCTTGGCCCGGCGCGGCTCCGACTCTGTCTCTCTCGCACCGCGGACACGAGTGTGGGAGTGACAGCGACAAAGCTACGAACTCCACTGACCCTGATGCGGCTGGCCATGGCTGTTCCTGGGGATGAACTGCCTCTCTCGGCCACCCTGCCCCTCTTATACGCCCCGCCCCTTGTTCGATACCTCGCCGCTCTCGCTGCTCGGCACCGCCATATCCGGATCAGAAGCGGTGGCGAGACTATCTCATCAAAAGGGGGATCAACCCCGCCGCCCCGCCTTGCCGCCCGCCTCCAACAAACAAGGGGGCCGGCGTGGATTCCGGACGTGCGGCCCGCAGGCCGTCTCTGTCGCACTCGTGGGACGCCCTGTCTGAGTTGGACGGAGACGGAGCGACGACGCACTGTCTGGAAGCAGACGACAGGGGTGCGGTGTCAGGGGCGGACTGGCTCCTAAAGGGCCCGGCGGGGAAATAGGCCAGAGGGGCCCGAATTTGCCTATCTTTCAGGGGCTTTTCATGAACAATAACAGATTTTTAAGCTTTTTACACTAATATCGATACTTTTGATCTATTTTGAAGCAATTCCGAGTCAGAAATATGCTCTGGAGTTACTTAACCGGACAATACTTTGTGTTTTTTGGTCAAAAGGGGGCCCGTATACCGGGGGGCCCGGGGGGGATTTCCCCGCCACCAACCCCGGGCCAGTCCGCCCCTGTGCGGTGTCGCGGCGCGCGGTCGGACTTCATTTTGGCGCCGTTCAGTTAGCTGGCGTCGCGGAGGGCGAGGGTGGAGGGCGGGGCGAGATTGGCATCGTGACACGCCGGGGATTGACTCGGCAACTCGGCCAAGAGCAGCCAAGGGCTTCGAAGAGACGCCGAGGCCGCGAGTTGTTTGCGGAGGGACGCCGAGCCTTCCCTGCGGCCCTGCGGCCCTGCGGCCCTGCGGCCCTGCGGCGAAGGTCAGTCGCATAAATGCCTACGCAATGCCGGATCTCAACTGATCCAACCCCGTCCCGTCCACCCCTTGCGAAGAACCGGCGGGTGGTTTTGCTTCTCGGCCCGCAGGACAAGGAGGGCAGTGTGCGCACGCGGCGCCCCCTTCCCCTCCCCTCCCCTCCCTTCCCTTCCGCGAGCTTGGTCCATTACCAGCATACGACGCGCCGCGGAAGCACGGAAGCCACACCACTGCAAAAACGAGGCGGCCGTGACGCGTCGACGCGCCCTTCGCGCCGCGCCAGAACGGCCTTCCTCTCCGGTCCACTCATTTCTGGACACAAATTAGCCCGAATTTCGAGCTGTCCCTTTTTTAAAATGGAAACCATTAGGCGAACATGTCGTCGCAACGGCTGCAGGGGGAGGGGAGGGGCGCCGCGGGGAGCGGAGGGTCTTTTCGTTTCCCAGCGGAACAACTGAAAGACGACGCTCTATTCGCACGACTGAAGGGCGGCACTCAATATCACCCAACAATGAATTAAATTTCACTTAATGTCTTTAAATCCATGAGAATATTTGATCTGGTGTGTTTCCTCACATCAAATATAGATGGGTGGCAACTGTTGCCATATTATTTGGCCTGGCGAAAAATTTGGTTCTTACCAAATAATGGCGAGACTTTTGTTTCTCGCTATAGTTTGGCCAGAAATTTGATTCTTGCCACAGACTGGTCCGTCTATTCTGGCATTTTCTTTATACACCGCGTAGGATTCTTTGCGCTGGGGCTTGCTTGCCAGAAGTACTACAGACCATGTTCAGGTGCAACGATCGGTATCGACGCACACGCGCTTTCGCGCCAAACTGGCGTCGTTTTATGACTTTCGGTTCGGGCAGTCGGGCTTGGACGCCAGTTTCCGTTTCACGCTGCGTCCGCGTCCCAACGCGTTGCGTCGCGTTGCGTCACGTGGATGCAGTCCCATTCCGGACGGTAGTTTCCGTCGCTCTGTCTCTCCCGCACGCATGGGGCGCTCGGGCGCATCGTTGGGGTGCGAGAGAGACACAGCGACGAAAGCCCTGCACGCCTTCCGGACGCTTCTGCATTTGTTTGGACGGTTCCGATTCCGGGCCACCGCCCCCGCTTCGCGCCGCGCCGCCCTCTGCACCCTCGCGCCAACTCGCCGCGCTGCGGAGTTGGGAGCACGCAGCACGCGTAGCACGCCCCAGTTTCGATAGCAAATAACGCATGTCGGCGGCAGGGCAGGGCAGGGCTGATACACCGCCATTGGTTGAAAGCACGCGTTGTGTTGCAGCACACAAGCCGGCCACGGGACAGATAATAATTCCGCGAAGTGCTTCTGCCAGTGTGTTGGATGACGTTGCCGCAGTTTCGGCTCCAAACAGACCCCGAACTGCAGCGGGTCGGCCCCACAGTGTGTCCGCACAATGGGGCCGTGGGGCGTGGGGCCCCGGACGCCGGGGCGGCCGAAGTGAGCGCCGCTCCACGGCGACGCCCCGCTGGCTATCGGGTATCAGCGCGGCCTGCACGCTCCGAACAGTCTTCCCGTCTCCCTCGCACCCCTACGGGGCGCGCCGTGGGTGCGAGGGAGACGGAGCGACGAAAGCCCTCGTTCGACATCGGCCCGCTGGACCGGCCGGACAATGGGCGAGGAGCGGCGAGGAGGAGACGCTGACCTCCAGCTTGTCACATTGTTCCTTCCGAGGCGGCAGCGCCGCGCCACGCCACGCCACGCCCCACGTGACACCGTATAGGGGTGGCAAGGGCGGGGCGGGGCGGGGCGGGGCGGGGCGCGGCGGACGTGAGGCAACACAGGTAGGGTCGTCCGTTCCGTCCGCGTCTACGCGGAGTCCCCGCCTTCCCGCGGCAGGGCGGCAGGGCGGCAGGGCAGACCCGATTCCGAGACCGCCTCGGGGAAGCTGCATCGGATTCCCGGCAGACTTACGCGCCATCTCGGGAACCAGACGGAATGCATAACAGCACGCTGGTGGCGCAGTCGCCCCGCCTCTCTCGCACTCGTGCATGGGGCGTGCCAACACCTCAAGCAGTCCCTCTCCCCGGATGTCACGTGGTCCACGCCGACGTCGCCTGCCTGCTCGAGGAAACCCAAGGGCCCCGAAAAGGGCCCGAAATTTTCCAGGGCTTCGCGGCGATGCGTGTGGCTGACTGGAAACCTGGACGGCGGGCTGCTTCCGAACGCTCGCGCTGTCTCTCTCGCACTCACGGTGCGTCCCGACAGTCCCGACGGGGTGCGAGAGAGACAGCGATACTTCGGAAGCGCGGTGCGGCGGGCGCGACGAACGACGACGTGCCTCTGGGAGTCTGGGACCGGGCTGGTCGGGTTCGACGGCCTCGAGGTGCGCCTCGATGTTGCCGCCCAGCAGACCGGCCGGCACACCGCTAGCCGACCGCCAGACGGACACCGCCGCCACGCCACCGCCATCTGATTGAATGGGGAATGACGCGCCGAAGCGATGCGAGCTGCGAGGCGAACAAGCGCCGCCGTGAGAGAAAATCCCCGTCCCCTGCACTGCTATATGGCTGACACTTGATCGGATCAACACGCACCACCACAGACACGCTCACACACACGCACACACATCGAAATCCGGCCGTCGGTTCAGTGGACGTTGCTCGAACTGGAACCAGACGGCATGACCGCAGCTTGCCGCCCCGCCCCGCCCCGCCCCGCCCCGCCCCGCCCCGCCCCGCCCCGCCCCGCCCCACCCCGCCCCGCCCCGCCCCGCCCCGCCCCGCCCCGCCCGAACCCCTCACTAGTCCGCCCTGCCCGCCAGAGGCTGAGGCTATCACTCGCTGGGTGTGGTCCGAGTGGCGCATGGGGTCGAGTCGAGGCGTCTGCCCGCTCGGCCCGCTCAGTGTCAGCCTGGGATGGACGTCGGCCGGACCGCCACGGCCTAACGAAGAGCGGCGAAGCGGCGAAGCGGCCCACCTGCAACAAGGCGGCCCGACCAGGCCCTACAGGGCGGCAGGCAGGCCCACGCCGAGTGCCGCGACCGTGATGAACGCGGGGACGCCTCCGGAAAGCCCTCCAGACTCCAGGCGCCGCGCTGGTCTCCCTCTGGCAGCGGAAGACTCCCGCGCCTCGGACGCACCCCGCTGGGCCTCGCCCTTGCCCTTGCCCTGGCCGGCCCTGTCCGCCCCGCCTGCCCGGGACCGCACTTGTTGACGCGCTGACAGTGCCGGTACCGCCAGGCAGGTCGTCCTGTTCGTCATTCGATACCTCCTAGCAACAGACACGTACTTCGGAGACGCTTCTCAAAACTCACGTACTTTCAGCAGCTTGTGCAACAAACACGCAGTTTCGCCATTTCTAGTCAAAAAGCACGCAGTTTGCGCATTTTCGTCCTCGCGGGCACGGAAATACATTTTGGGTAACTTTCATGGTTGTGCTAGTGAGGTGCAGTCACTAAGTCACCATTGATAACCTGGAAACGGTTTCAGGACCGATCTGTCGTTAAATATAGGCCCACCTTTAACCTCCAAACTTCCTGTAATATTTCAATGCAGATCACTCCTGAAACCGTTTTGAGGTTATAAATGGTGACTTAGTGACTGTACCTCACTAGCCCAACCATGAAAAATACTCAAAATGCATTTCCGTGCCCGCCAGGACGAAAATGCGGAAACTGCGTGCTTTTTGACTAGAAATGGCGAAACTGCGTGTTTGTTGCACAAGCTGCCGAAAGTACGTGAGTTTTGAGAAGCGTGCCCGAAGTACGTGTCTGTTGCTAGGAGGTATCGCATTGTTTTGCTGGCCGCCAGACCACTGCGCCGTCTAGCCCTCCTCGGCCTAGCCTGCCCGCGAAGAGGCTGCGGCCAGAACCAAGTGCAAGTGGCGGCGATGGCGACGGCGGCGCCTGGAGGATGGTGCGTCCCATGAGGGCGCGAGAGAGACCCCGGCAGCTTCCAGGGGGTGGTTGCCACGCGGGGCGCTGCTGGCGGCATCCCGACGGGGCTGTCGACGGCCTCCCCTCCCCGAGGACGCCCCGGACGCCCCCGCGCCCGCGCATTCGCGATGCACTTCCTGGAGTCCGCGACGAAGACGAATGGTGTTTCCGAGTGAAGGCGAGGCGGGCCGAGCCAGCCGAAGGACGCGCGAAGCAGCGGCAGTCACATCGGACGTCACGTGGCCGTCGATTCAAG